TGCATACACCAAGTGTATATAAGTTACCTGCATAGAAGAGCAGGGACTTGCTATGATTTCCCTCAGCGCGTTATTGTTATCTACTATCTATGGTATTATCTATGGTATTTTGTTTATGAAAAGTCTTTTCTCATGACCCACTAAAAATTCATTAGACTGGAAGAGGGGACATTTCTTGGTTACATTCAAATCAAAACCACTACGAGGGACATTATCTAAGAGAGTCCCTTCTAATCGTCAGGTTACGTCAGTGGCTACATTACCTTACCTACCATTTGGAATTTACACACCCACACAGCATACTTTAAAAGATTATAAATATTCTTCCCTTAAATTGCATCATGAACCTCTAGTTTTATTACTCTATGGCGAGGCAGCTTGTGAACATCTTGGTTAAAGGCAGCGTGATAACAAGTGCAGAACATCCACCATTCTGCACAGCCAGATTTTTCCCTCTGTCCTTCAGCTGCGATAGTAATTTATAGCTGTGCACAGACAGCACAAAGCGGTTATGAAATATTACCAGATCACAACAGTAGCATTGTACACCCATAATGCACTCTGCATAAAGGTAAATAACTGAACCAGGCTCAGGACAATTGAGAATCAGGCCCACTTTCTAGAGAGCCGCTGACAGCTATGGCATTAGCCCTTAATGACCTGTCACTCAAGAACTTGCGTTTTCTAACCTATTCATAGGTCCAGTAAAAAGATACTCCAATTTCTGCCTTGTGTACTTGTTTCCTGACATCAACATGGCACAAAATAACATCTTCACAATAAACTGTGACTACACAAGATAAAACCTGAAGCAGAGCTCTGTGTGGCTCAAAAGCTTCTCTCACCAATAAAAGTTGGTCCAATGAAAGATATTACCTCACCCACCTTGTCTCGTACAAGGTAATTGTGAGATTCAGATGTCAAGATTCAGTGACACTAAGTTCCTCTCTGACTGTTCTTTCAGCCTCTGGTAATGAAGTGGTTTAATGTGCTGGAGGGGTTGAGACGTCACTATAGCTTGAGCTGGGTGATGAATACACTTATAGCTATCGTGATCTCAGTTTATAGTGTTCTGTGCTTTAAGGACTTGCAGTATTTGACTTAAAGACAATCTGAATTCCTGATTTCTTAGCTTCCTCTGTGAACTCCTGCTTCCTACGCTGTCATTTAGAGCCGAGGTAATTTGTGTGCTCTCCATGGGGCTGAATCTGGCTTCTTGCTCCTGTAGCTACCCACTGGCAGCTTGTTATGAAGAAAAATGGTTTCCGCTTCAAAGCAGTCTGTCTGCCTATGCTCCCACCCAGGAGAACAGACTGCAGTAAATGGACATCGAGTTTTGGGCTTAAATACAGGAAAAATAACATCTAGAATAAAATGCCTGCAGTAAGGAAACTCATGGATATGGTTTAATATGCTGAATTGCTGCTTTGGAGTGGATGGGGGGGAAATGCGGGTAGCCTATTGCCGCTGACTAGAGGGGGCTCATTTTAAGATTACGGCACCAAAGACAACTATAAATTATAGGGTGCAAGGCTGCTCCTGTGGTTAAAACCCAGGGAGGAAGTCCAGAGATGATGATTAATTTAAATCAGTGATGTGATAGCTTAGTCTTCTGGAATCAGTTCCTTTGTAGGCTGATTAAAATTTAACCTCTACATTCATACTGGGTTAGGCTTTACCAAAATAGTCAGTGTTAAATTAAACATATAAACTTGTGATTAGAGCTAGCATGTACATTGTTCACACGCTTATTGTTCTGTCTCCCAGATGTTCTGGCATCTGTCTGGTATGTGGCACCTCTGATTATTTCTTTGCTCTAAGGGCTTTGAAGCTGTGTGATGTACAGTAGCAGTTTTTATTACCATAGCTCATTAAGAGAAATATATTGGACAGATTTTGTGGGTTTTTTTTTTTTTTTACAAGCAGCTGGAAGCTGGGCGGAGAGAAGATTTATAGGCAGTGGAACTCCTGGAAGGGGCAGAGAAGATAAAGAAGTGCTGCTTCCACTAAAATATTCCCCACCCATAAGACCTTTTGCAAATGCTTAATGTGAACAGGGCTCTTGCAGTTTCAGTGCTAGAAACCCCTTATTTGTGGCATTATCTCTCCTAGACTCAGCAATCAAATAGCCACTGCCAAGCCCTGGTCTACACTACAGAGTTAGGGCAAGCTAAGGCAGTTTACATCGACCTAACTCTAAGTGTCTATGCTAAAATGTAGCTCCCAGCAATGTAACGCCTACTACACCAACTTAATAACTCCACCTCCGCAAGAGGCGTAGTGCTTAGGTTGACATAGTTAGGTTGGCGCACCATGAATGTAGACACTCCATTGCTTACAATGCCTGTAGCTGTCTTTCAGAAGCTGTCCCACAATGCCCCACCCTGACAGTTAAATTGGTGCACGTGCTCCTGGTGAGGATGCGCACCGTCGACACGAGGCGCATAGTGTGGACATGCAAAAGCGATGTAATTACTGCAATGGCTGTATGTCGCTGTAACTTAGCCCTGGTCTACACCACAGGGTTAGGTCAAATTTAGCCACGTTGGGTTGATTTTAAAATGAATGCGTCTACACAACCGACCCTGTTCCGTCGACCTAAAGGGCTCTTAAAATCGACTTTATTACTCCTCCCTGGTGAGGGGAGTAACGCTAAAATCAACCTTGCAGGGTCGAATTTGGGGTAGTACAGATGCAATTCGACGGTATTGGCCTCTGGGACCTATCCCAGAGTGCTCCAATGTGACCGCTCCAGACAGCACTTTGAACTCTGATGCACTAGCCAGGTACACAGGAAAAGCCCCGGGAAATTTTGAATTTCATTTCCTGTTTGGTCAGTGTGGCGAGCTCAGCAGCACAGGTGACCATGCAGTCCCCCCAGAATTGCAAACGAGCTCCAGCATGGACTGAAAGGGAGACACTAGATCTGATTGCTGTATGGGGAGAAGAATCTGTGCAGGCAGAACTCGGATCAAAAAGAAGAAATGTAAATATATATGCCAAAATCGCAAAGGGCATGGTGGAAAGAGGCTACAACAGGGACACACAACAGTGCCACATGAAAGTTAAGAAGCTCAGACAAGCCTACCAAAAAACAAAGGAGGCAAACAGTCGCTCCGGGTCAGAGCCCCATACACGCCGCTTTTATGATCAGCTGCATGGCATTCTGGGGGGGGACCCTACCACACAAACTCACTCTCTTGCTGGTAATAGCTCATCCAAAGTGACCACTCTCCCTACAATGTGCATGGTAATCAAGGTGGGCCATTTCCAGCACAAATCCAGGCTTTCTCACCCCCCTCCCTCTTTCCCGGGGAACACACACACACACACAAACTCACTCTCCTGCTGGCAATAGCTCATCCAAACTGACCACTCTCCAAGTTTAAATCCAAGTTTAACCAGAACGTCGGGGGGGGGGGGGGGTAGGAAAAAACAAGGGGAAATAGGCTACCCTGCATAATGACTTAGCCACTCCCAGTCTCTATTTAAGCCTAAATTAATAGTATCCAATTTGCAAATGAATTCCAATTCAGCAGTTTCTCGCTTTGTGTGTGTGTGTGTTCCCCCGGAAAAGGGGGGGGGGTGAGAAAGCCTGGATTTGTGCTGGAAATGGCCCACCTTGATTACCATGCACATTGTAGGGAGAGTGGTCACTTTGGATGAGCTATTACCAGCAAGAGAGTGAGTTTGTGTGTGTATGGGGGTGGGAGGGTGAGAAAACCTGGATTTGTGCTGGAAATGGCCCACCTTGATTATCATGCACATTGTAGGGAGAGTGGTCACTTTGGATAAGCTATTACCAGCAGGAGAGTGAGTTTGTGTGTGTGGTTTTTGGAGGGGAGTGAGGGGGTGAGAGAACCTGCATTTGTGCAGGAAATGGCCCTTCTTGATTATCATACACATTGTGAAAAGAGTGGTCACTTTGGATGGGCTATTACCAGCAGGAGAGTGAGTTTGTGTGTGAGGGGGCGGAGGGTGAGAAAACCTGGATTTGTGCTGGAAATGGCCCAACTTGATGATCACTTTAGATAAGCTATTACCAGCAGGACAGTGGGGTGGGAGGAGGTATTGTTTCATGATCTCTGTGTGTATATAATGTCTTCTGCAGTTTCCACGGTATGCATCCGATGAAGTGAGCTGTAGCTCACGAAAGCTCATGCTCAAATAAATTGGTTAGTCTCTAAGGTGCCACAAGTACTCCTTTTCTTCATGTGTGAGGTGTCACCATACTGGCAGGCACTCAATATAAAAGGCAAAATGTGACCTTGTACCTAAAGCTCATGTGCTGTCTCCTATGAGTTTCTTGATTCACTGTGAAAGAGTCTCCCTTTTGTTCTCAGAAATGTATCATAAATTTTACTCTCACTTTTTATCTCCTCCCAAGTGCAAGTGTTTCTATGCTCCCCCTATCATCTCCGTCCCTGAGGTTATTGCAGATTAGAAGGCTAAAAAACACACTCGCAATGACATGTTTTCTGAGCTCATGCAGTCCTCCCACACTGATAGGGCACAGCTTAATGCATGGAGGCATTCAGTGGCAGAGGCCAGGAAAGCATTAAGTGAGTGCGAAGAGCAGAGGCAGGAGGTGATGCTGAGGCTAATTGGGGAGCAAACGGACATGATGAAGTGTCTGTTGGAGCTGCAGGAAAACCAACAAGTGCACAGACCCCACCCCCACCCCCCCGCTGCATCCATCGTATAACTGCCTGCCCTCATCCCCAAGTTCCATATCCTCCTCACCCAGATGCACAAGAATGTGCGGGGGGGGGGGGAGTGGGAGGCTCCGGACACCAAGCCACTCCACTCCAGAGGATGGCCCAAGCAACAGAAGGCTGTCATTCAAACAGTTTTGATTTGTAGTATGGCTACAATAAGCAATGTGCCCTTGTCCTTCCCTCCTTCCGTACCCCACCCCACCCGGGCTACCTTGTCAGTTATCTCACTTTTTTTTTTAATTAATAAAGAAAGAATGCATGATTTCAAAACAATAGTTACTTTATTTCCTTTGCCAGCTGTGATCGAAGGGAGGAGGGTGGTTGGAATTAAAATCAACAAAGGGGGTGGGTTTGCAGCAAGGAGAAACACACACAGTTGTCACACCATAGCCTGGCCAGTCATGAAACTGGTTTTCAAAGCCTCTCTGATGCGCAGCGCGCCTAGCTGTGCTCTTCTAATCGCCCTGGTTTCTGGCCGCACAAAGTCGGCCACCAGGTGATTTGCCTCAACCTCCCAGCTTGCCATAAACATCTCCCCCTTACTCTCACAGATATTATGGAGCACACAGCAAGCAGCAATAACAATGGGAATGTTGATTGTGCTGAGGTCTAACCTAGTCAGCGCACAGCACCAGCGAGCTTTTAAACGTCCAAAAGCACATTCTACCACCATTCTGCACTTGCTCAACCTATAGTTGAACTCTCCTTTCTACTGTCCAGGCTGCCTGTGTACGGCTTCATGAGCCATGGGAGCAAGGGGTAGGCTGGGTCCCCAAGGATAACTATTGACATTTCAACATCTCCAATGGTAATTTTCTGGTCTGGGAAGTAAGTTCCTTCTTGCAACTGCTTGAACAGCCCTGAGTTCCTGAAGATGCGAGCGTCATGCACCTTTCCCAGCCATCCCACACTGATGATGGTGAAACGTCCCTTGTGATCCACCAGTGCTTGCAGCACCATTGAGAAGTACCCCTTGTGGTTTATATACTGGTTGGCAAGGTGGTCCAGTGCCAAGATAGGGATATGTGTTCTGTCTATTGCCCCACCACAGTTAGGGAACCCCATTGTAGCAAAGCCATCCAGTATGACTTGCACATTTCCCAGAGTCACTACCCTTAATAGCAGAACGTCAGTGATTGCATTGGCTACTTGGATCACAGCAGTCCCCTCAGTAGACTTGCCCACTCCAAATTGATTCCCGACTGACCAGTAACAGTCAGGCATTGCAAGCTTCCACAGGGCTATCGCCACTCGCTTCTCAACTGTCAGGGCAGGTCTCATCTTGGTATTCCTGTGCTTAAGGGTGGAGGAAAGCAACTCACAAAGTTCAAGGAAAGTGGCCTTAAGCATGCAAAAGTTTTGCAGCCACTGTGAATCATCCCATACCCGCAACACTATGCAGTGTTTGCCAAGCCCAGAATCGGAGTTCCACTGTATCAACCAGCCCCACTGCCGCCATGATGTCCCAATTGCCACCGCCCGTGCTTTCAGGAATGTCTGTGCCCATGTCCTCATCACAATCATCCTTGTGCTGATATCTCCTAGCCAGGTTCTGCAGATATCCAGGATAATCTATGAGGTGTTTACAATGCTCACAACAGCAGCAGCTCACAACAACTGAGCGGGCTCCATGCTTGCTGTGGTATGGCATCTGCACGGGTAACCCAGGAAAAAAGGCACAAAACGATTGTCTTCCATTACTTTCACAGAGGGAGGGAGGGGCGACTGACGACATGTACCCAAAACCACCCTCAATAATGTTTTTGCCACATCAGGCATTGGGAGCTTAACCCAGAATTTCAATGGGCAGTGGAGACTGCGGGACTGTGGGATAGCTATCCACAGTGCACCGCTCCGTAATTCAATACTAGCTGCAATATTGAGGACACACTCCGCCGACTTAATGCGCTTAGTGGGAACATACACAGTTGACTGTATAAAATCAATTTCTAAAAATCAACTGAGTTTTGATTGCATTCAAGCAACATTCCGTCTTCTGGAGCTGCAGGAAAGCCAACAAGGACCAAATAAGGCAGCCCTCCCCAGAAACCTTCTGCAAAGGCTTTCAGAGTACCTCCAGGAGAGCTTCATGGAGATGTCCCTGGAGGATTCCCGCTCCATCCCCAGACACGTTAACAGAGTTTTCCAGTAGCTGTACTGGCCGCGAATGCATCCCAATTCTTCAGGGCAAATCAAACATTAAACACTCTTGCTTTTAAACCCTGTTCTTTCATTACAAATGTGCACTCACCAGAGCTGCCTTCTCTGGCTTCAGGGTCTGGGATCCCGCCTTGGGAGGGTATTGGCTCCAGGGTGATGAAAAGGTCCTGGCTGCCAGGGAAAGCGGATTCACCACTTGCCTGCTGCGCATTCTCCTCCTCCTCCTCTTCCACAAAATCCTCCTCCCTGTTGCGTGAGACTCCCCCTTGCAGGTGTCCAAGGACAGCAGTGGGGTAGTGGTAGGGTCCTACCTAGAATGCCATGCAGCTGATCATAGAAGTGGCATGTATGGGGCTCTGACCTGGAGTGACCATTTGTCTCCTTTGTCTTTTGGTCTGAGGCCTGAGCTCCTTAACTTTCACGAAGCACTGTTGTGTGTCCCTGTTGTAGCCTCTCTCCACCATGCCCTTTGCAATTTTGGCATATATATTAGTATTTCTTCTTTTTGACCTGAGTTCTGCCTGCACAGATTCTTCTCCCCATACAGCAATCAGATCTAGTGTCTCCCTTTCAGTCCATGCTGGAGCTCGTTTGCAATTCTGGGGGGACTGCATGGTCACCTATGCTGCTGAGCTCGCCACACTGACCAAACAGGAAATGAAATTCAATACTTCCCGGGGCTTTTCCTGTGTATCTGGCTAGTGCATCAGAGCTCAAAGTGCTGTCCGGAGTGGTCACATTGGATCACTCTGGAATAGGTCCCAGAGGCCAATACTGTCAAGTTGCGTCTGCGCTACCCGAAATTCGACCCCGCAAGGTCGATTTTTAGCGCTACTCCCCTCGCCAGGGAGGAGTACTGAAGTCTATTTTAAGAGCCCTTTAGGTCGCCAGAACAGGGTTGGTTGTGTCGATGCATTCATTTTAAAATGGACCTAACTTGGCTAAATTTGACCTAAGCCCATAGTGTAGACCAGGGCTTAGCTCAACTTAATTTTTTAATGTAGACTTGCCTTAAGACGTTCCCGCTTGAAATAGCAGTAACTGCATTCCAGGGTGCGTGTGGGAGTTATGTGCAAGAATGGGTCTCTGCCCACTGACAGTCCAGCTCCTTAAGGTTGTATGCAGCTCGAGAGAGGAGGGCCAGAGGGCTAGAGCTGAGAGGCTGATCCACAGAGTCAGAGGTTTCATTCCCCAAAATCCTTTGTACCTTTACTTTTGAGGAGTTTCCTTGCATTAGTGGGAAGAGTCTTTCCATTGACTTCAGTGGACTTTGGATCCAGCCCAAAAGATTGAATGTATATATTGTCCAGTCTTCTTGTTGTGACCTTTATCTCAAACTCCCTTTACTGTTCGTTTGATTATGAGTGTTGTAAAAGCAGTAAATAACAGCGCCACTGTGTGAAGACATTCAGAGAAGAGAAATGAGAGAAAATGAAAGCTGACAGGTTAAAAGGACACTTTCTAGTAGTCTACACCCAACCCTTGTATTATTTTGCCAATCCGCTATTGACAAAAACTATTTTGTTCTTCTAAAAAAAAAAAAATTCAGTGTAAACATTTTTCAGATTTAGACGCTAATTTTGCAGAGATGTAATATGCACATGCTTAACTTGACAGACATGAAAACGTTAGATAAATAAACCTTTGCAGGATTACAGCCTTTTACAGAAATCCCTATAGTGTGTTCATCCCAGACATTGTAGACAGTATCACTTTCTGGCTCTTAATACTCCTGCAGTGTGCCTCCAACGGAGAAGTGAAATTTTCATTCTCTAAACTAAAAAAAGTGCAAGAAAAAAACAAGAGCATAAATGGTACATAAGTAAGATCTTAAATTCTCTCAGCTGTAATAATATAAGCTATTGTTAGTAACACATAAAGAATTTTTTTTAATGATGACATCTTGCCCGTGTACATTTAAATATCTCTTCTATAGTTACAATATACATACATACATACATAAATTAGTGGAACTGCTGGCTTATGCCTTTTGAGGGATGTGTGATTGCAGTAACTGAGCCATGGTTACTCCAGAAAATTAACTAGATACATAAGCCAAGGATAGGGAGTTCACCAAAGGGGCATACAGAATAAAGCATGAGGAAGGTAGTAAATTAAAATACCAGGGAAAGATGATTTTCTTTGTAAAGAGAAATCTTGGGTTCCAATTAGACAATAAAATGGTTTTCTAGTGCTGTTTTCCCAATGTGTTTGTATACCCCTCACTGACAAAGCAACGCATTTCAAGTATGAGCAGAATAAAAGAATAAATTCCTTGAATGACTGCTGCAAATTATTTGCACTGCAATAGTTGGTATCTAATGCTGTGGACACAGTTGTTTTCTTTTTCATGTAGCCACTTCAGCTTTGCCTTCTCAGCCAATGGTTGCCTTGAACTGATGAGTTCTTTCTGATCTGCCTCTCCTTCCCCCTATGAAGTCTTCCTCTTCTCTCTGGGTACTGCAAGATGTATAGTTTGCCATTTTATAGTCAAGGATCATTTAGGGCCTGATCTTGCTCCTACTGAAATCAATGGGAGTTTTACTTTTGACTTAAGAAGAAGCAGAATTGGGTCCTCGTTCACAATTAAACAGCAGGTTGTTACAGAGCATCTTTCAGAGGCTCTTGCTCAGCAACCCAGTCTCTGCTACCTTACTAGCTCCTTCCCTCCCCCTTCTAAAGTATGAGGATGGTAGAAAAGATACTTTTCCTCTTTCTCTAGCAGTAGAAACTCACAAGTGTCACAACAGGAAGTGCCATGTTGGGACTGTAGCTTTCTCTGCAATTATGTTAATGATAGTAGGCTCCATATCAAAGCACAAACAAAAAAACTCAGGTAACTTCCTCCCCATCTCCTGTTATTAGAGATCTCCAGGCTTACATGAGAAGCATTAGGACATGTTTATGCAAATATGGAAGAGGTGTGTATAAAAAAAAAGTTATGAAATTGTTCATGGATTGAGCAATGTATAGTTATTGTTTGAGATAAAGATGGGGAAAAGTGAGAAAAGAAGGGTCATTCAGGATTGTACCTGCTATAGTTTGTTGAACAGTCAACACAGCCTTCTGGGTGAAGTCCTTGGAAATAATTAGGGTCCTACCAAATTCGCGGCCATGAAAAATGCATCATGGACCATGAAATCTGGTCTTCTGTGTCCTTTCACCCTATACTATACAGATTTCACAGGGGAGGAACAGTGTTGTTTAAACTGGGGGCCCTGACCCAAAAAGGGGTCATACAGTGGGGGGGGGGGGTTGTAAGGTTATTGTGTGGTTGTGATGTTGCCACCCTTATTTCTACACTGCCTTCAGAGCCGGGTGACGAGAAAGTGGCAGCTGCTGGCCAGGTGCCCAGCTCTGAAGGCAGCACGACCAGCAGAAGTGCAGAAGTAAGGGTGGCAATGGGTGGCTAGAAAGTGGCGACTGCTGCCTAAGGGTAAGGGTAGAAATACCATACCATGCTATCCTTACTTCTGTGCTGCTGCTGCTGGTGGCACTACCTTCAGAGCTGGGATCCCGGGCAGCAGCTGCCACTCTCCAGCCACCCAGTTCTGAAGGCAGTGCTGTCGTCAGCAGCAGAGAAGTACAGATGGCAATATTATGAGCCCCCTACAATAACCTTGTGACCCCCCCCCCAACTACCCTCTTTGGGTCAGGACCCCTACAGTTACAACATCATGAAATTTTAGATTTAAATATCTGAGATCATGAAATTTATGATTTTTAAAATCCTATGACTGTGAAATTAACCAAAATGGACTGTGAATTTGGTAGGGCCCTAGAAATAATCTTTTATCCTCCAAGTTTTTGGAGGTAGTTTTGCCAGTCACATTGTTGTCTCCTCCCAAGATGCTCAAATAGATGCCGTGAAAGAACTGGAGTGGAGGAGATGGAAGAGGGGGACTAGAGAGCAGTTAGGGTTTAGACAGTGTTACAGAGCACTGTCTCAACATTTAATTCGTTCTCTGCTTTATTCAGCAGTGTTGCAATCCAAATATTAATTCCAGTGACTCAAAGGCTGGTCTATATTTGGAGTCAGATAACAACACAAGATTGTTAATTACTTTATATTCTCAAGAACTACTTTCATTGTAGTTTAATATTGTTGTTCAGCACAGATTAGGGGGACCATGTAGACATGATTGGGCAAATGTATAGCGGGGGTAAGATAGTGATGGGAGCTACTCCAAAGGGATCAATATTTACAGTACATGATTTAAAAAAATTCTTTGCAGTGTTGTACAGTTGGAATGAAATATCAACACCTATTCATCCAACATATTATAAGGCAGAGTGTAGGGCTGGTTGGATTTTTTTGTTTGTTTTGTTTTTACACCTTCTTGACCTAGCAGGAGACCAAATCTTAAAAACAGATTTAAAAAAAACTGCCCAAAACTTCCAACAGTTTTGAGGTTCTGGTTAGGATATTTATATATATATATATAAATAATCTAAGGTTCGTTAGAGTAAACAAATCACCTTCCAGTGCCTGGGAGCCCACAGATTCCATGAAGAATTGTCCCTCCAAAAAACCATTTTGATTTTGGAAGCTTGTTGATGTAGGAAAATTCAGGCATTTTTCATCAAGCTTTCTGAACACTTTTTTCAAAGTAACAGCCGTGTTAGTCTGTATTTGCAAAAAGAAAAGGAGTACTTGTGGCACCTTAGAGACTAAATTGGTCTCTTTTTTTTCTTTTTGTGAACACTTTTTGCATTTTACCACTAGATGGCAATAAATTGAATATGATTTTCATCTGCCTTTCTTGAACTGTTTTCCTCTTAAAAATACGTCCAAACATTAACCTGGTTTGATATATAATATAGATATGTAACTTCTGATCTGTCATACCGTTACATCTTACACAAATCAGACTAATAATTTATACTTATTTTTTTCGAAGAGAGGATGGGGATGCCTTATAGATGTTTTCATCTTTCAGAACTCCAGCAAAGCAGGTCTATGCTTGTTTCTGAGGCAGTTTGTGCTCCTTGTGACTACAGACTCTCCCCAGATGCTGCATTTATAGTTCCATGTCTGTATTTTTACTCACTCAGATATATTGAATCCCTTGTGTTAAGGCTGCGCTAGTGAGGTAATGGAGGTGGCTCATGGGAGCATCTTTGTTCAAATTCTTCCAGCAGTTTGACATGGGAGTGGGGGTGATTTTTCCTGCTTCTGATGGAATTCACCATCTCCCTAAACACTTCTTAATCATCCAGGGTTTCCTGAAGAGTAGAGTTTTTGCCTTAGCATCAGATTGCACCAAATATCCACTTGTTTAAAAAAAAAAAAAAAAGGAAATCTCCACAAACCTACCTATAAAGGTCTACCCCGATCCTACCTTCCTTCAAATGACATCAGCTATACAATGCATTACTCAGTACTGTTTTCTGGAAGAAGTGTGTGTGTTCCCAGCATGTGCATTTAGTGTAAGCTTGTGTGCCAGCAGCGGTCTCTCAAACAGAGACAGAAAGTGATCGTATGGCAATGGATAAGTGAATAGATTCCTCAGCCTGTAACCCTCCTCTCAGAGCACAGGCACTCCTGAGTTGTGGGATTTACCACAGGGAAGATTTTTTGAGAGCCATTGTTCAACACTGGCATTCGGTCACAGGGCTGCCCACAAAGGCTTTCTCCCCATCCAAAATACCACGTGGGTGTGGCACTTCTTGCTTTCAAATTACATTACAGTAGTTTTGCAATCCAGGCACACAGTAACAGGGCTGGCCACATGCTGAGCACCCCAGCATAGCCAGGCTGTGTAGCACCCTGCCTTTGTTTACCCTCTTCAGGAGCATTTAAGAACTATGCTGGAGGCTTTCTCATGACCAGCAGTACCCCTCCTTGGGATCTCGATGTATTAACATAAACAATTCAAACCATCCTCAAAGTCCCAAAATATAGTCCATCAATACACCACCTATTCTACTTTGCTAGTCTCAGGGCTCTTCTTCAGTCCCAGCCTGCTCTTCAATCAACCAGCTATTTCAGCCCCTTCTAGCTGGAGTCCTTCCCTGCTCTTCCCAACACATACTCTCCAGTCTTCCTACCCGTAGTCCTTTCATCTCCAGGAAAGGGCTCAACATCCTCCCAATGCTGTCTACGCTCCATCTTTTAGAGGTCAGCAGTCAAACCCCTCTACTCTTCCAGGCCTCAGCCTTCTTCAGCTCTTTGGCTTTTGTTTCCAGGCCCAAACCCTTCTCCCTGTCAGAGTCTCCCACAGCAGCCTCCTGCTCACTACAACTCCTCTCTGTAGCTTCCTGCTGATCTCATAGATAACACCTGTCTTCCATTACGCCCCATCAGAGCTGTTAACATTGCACAGGTGGGCTGGAACAGTTCCTTCTGAAAGGGCCCAGTCCACCCTGCAACATGCATCATTCAGGCTTTTTTGCATCTGCACACTATTCTTTTAGGTCCCAATAAATACTATATTCATACGACCAGTTATTTTGAGTAAAAATAACAACTTCTGTTCAGTTTCTCTTTCAGTTTGGTACCTTGTCCAAGCCACATTTCTATAGTTTAATCCATGCCTAAATCTCCTTTGGAGAAATCTGTAAGTTGTAGGTTGGTTATACACAACGTTAAATACGGGCAAGCCACGAGGCAGTTATGAAAATTAAGAGTAACAATCTTGTTTTACTGACAGTGCATAGCTGTACAATCTGCATTTAGTATCGTGTTTGTATTACACACTGAAAGCTCCAGACAGGGACCCCACACTGCTGAGTGTTTTACAAAATACAGGCTTCAGAGTGGTAGCCGTGTTAGTCTGTATCAGCAAAAACAATGAGGAGTCCTTGTGACTAACAAATTTATTTGGGCATGAGCTTTCATGGGCTAGAACCCACTTCATCAGATGCATGGAGTGGAAAATACGGGAGCAGGTACAAATACATGAAAAGATGGGAGCTGCCTTACCTGCTCCCGTATTTTCCGCTCCATGCATCTGATGAAGTGGGTTCTAGCCCATGAAAGCTTATGCTCAAATAAATCTGTTAGTCTCTAAGGTGCCACAAGGACTTCTTGTTGTTTTTACAAAATACAGTCCTTGCTGCAAGTAGTTTACTATTAGGACAAGAACAATTTTACTGTTTTTTTTTTCCCCCTACAGAAATCTGAGGATGAAAAATCTCAAAAATGGTTTAATTACAATATATATTATTTAGGTTACTGATGTGACAGACCCTCAATCTTAGGTTTAATGAGTTGCTTATGCATTATGGCCCCGGTTCTGCAAGGCAGAAGGTTAATTAAGCATATGGGTAGTTTCCTGAAATCACAAAAAGAAAAGGAGTACTTGTGGCACCTTAGAGACTAACCAATTTATTTGAGCATAAGCTTTCGTGAGCTACAGCTCACTTCATCGGATACATACTGTGGAATCAGTTAGGCATATGGTTAAATACCTTGCTGAACTGGGCTGTCAGCTCTCACTGAAGACAAATTGAATCTTTCCATTGACTTTCATGGATCATGTGCTAATCCTTATTTGGTTTGCTTTTACACATTTTTTTTTTAAAGTAATTTGATTTGTAGAAATCAAGCATAAGTGTTTTCATGAGAGTTACTAGTGGTGAACAGTAATAGAAGGTAAATTTCTAAATCAGTTGAAATAGTTGACTGGCATTTTGTTTTCTTTTTAGCAAACTTCAGAAGAAAAAGCAAGATGTAACTGGACTACAGGGAGTGACAGGAGAATGGTTTGAAGAAATACAGAGAAAAAAATTTCTGAATGAAACTGACGTTAACAGAATGTTAAAACGACCACTAGCACATTGGCTAAGAAAGACATCAAGAAATGGTGAGTCATAGCGAGTTTTTCAAATCCTTTTCTTATGTGATGATCACCAAAACCCTGCAGCAAAGCATCTCAGAGTTCAGTAAGAGAGAAGTTTCTGAAATTGTGTTAGACCCCTTCTCACATCAAAGCTTTGCAAAATAACATTTTCAAAGGGAAATGTGTTCCTTTGAAGTAATTGTGTTAAAAGCACAATCGTGCAACAGATTACGAAGCTCTTGGTATTTCTTACCCTAGAGTTAAGAGTTGGAAAGATTATAAGCAAATAGACACAGCAGGTATTATCTGATGAAAGAATGAGTGCTAGCTTCGTATAGACTGCATTAGTTCCACAGAAATAAAAATCAAAGGTAAATATAATGATCACAGTCAAGCCTATTTTTTTTAAAGGAGATGAGGGAAATGGAAATAACTTTAGATAAATGAGGCTTCAGAGAAGCAGAGTAGATGTCGGGGAACAATTTTGGATAATCAAGATTTGGATGAAAGAGGTTTGAATGTATTTGAATAGAAGCTTGACTGATTACACAGGAATAAAATGTGTGCAAGTGTCAGATTACCAAGGTGGGAGATGGACCCTGTCTGCTGCCTGGTTGCCACTGTGATAGAACTGGGTGGTCGTCTTCCATGCATGCTGTTGCCCATCAGATCCCAACACGGACAATGTCCCTATCAAATTTCCCATTCTGTAGTGCAGTGGTTCTCAACCTGGGGTCCAGGTGTGACGTTGCACTCCATATGATTTTTATGAAAATATGCTAATGAGCATGAATATAATGTAACTGAAATATGCTTCATGAAAAAGGTCTCTTGTAAGGTATTATTACAAAGTTTATAATCTACTGAGTGTGGTCATCCTATTTGTATAAATGTATCATTCTTGTATCTGAAATTAGAAATATGAAATATAACTCTGAGGTCCTATTGTAATTATGAAAAGTGTGGGCCATTAATGGTGGTTTGGAATCTTGACTCCCATCAGCTAGGACAATTGACTGTAAATGGCTCTGTTTACTTGCAAGCCTTCCTGTGAGTGGGGCCGGGAAGAATGAAGGCTTGGGGTCTCACAGGTCATGTGACCATGTCACCTGGTACTGGAATCCATCTTAAACCTGGGGCTTTTCCATTTAGAAGGAGGGGTGGGGACCCAAAGAGACAAAAGATTCCCACCTTGTGCCAAAGCTATAAAGGGGGTGGAACAGAACAAAGGAGGCTGCAGTCATGAGAAATCCCCTAGCTACCACCTGAGCTGGAACAAGGACTGTACCAGGGAAAGGATTGGGCCCAGACTAGGAAGGCATCCAGTCCGTGAAAGAAACTTACTGAAACATCTCTGAGGGTGAGATTTTATCTGTATTCAGGTTTCTACTGTATTAGGCTTAGACTTGCGTGTTTTTGTTTTATTTTGCGTGGTAGTTTACTTTGTTCTGTCTGTTATTACTTGGAACCACTTAAATCCTACTTTTTGTATTTAATAAAATCACTTTTTACTTATTAATTAACCCAGAGTATATATTAATACCCGGTGTGGTGGGGGCAAACAGTTGTGCATATCTCTCTATCAGTGTTATAGAGGGCAAACAGTTTATGAGTTTACCTTGTATAAGCTTTATACAGGGTAAAACGGATTTATTTGGGGTTTGGACCCCATTGGGAGCTGGGTATCTGAGTGCTGGAGGCAGGAGCACTTCTTAAGCTGTTTTCGGTTAAGCCTGCAGCTTGTGGGGGACATGGTTCAGACTTGGATCTGTGTTTGAAGCAGGCAAACGTGTCTGGCTCAAACGAGTCAAGGTACTGAAGTCCCAAGCTGGCAGGGAAAACGGGCTCAGAGGTAGTCTAGGCACATCAGGTGGCAGTCCCAAGGGGGTTTCTGTGATCTAACCTGTCACACCAGGGTCTGCTGTGGGGCTGCAAGCAGGTTCAGGGGGGCCACCAAGGAAGGCCAGTGTTCGACTTGCTGGGGCTCAGGGCAGCAAGCTAAAGCCCCATCGCATGGGACTGAAGCCTGGGGCCCTGAGTCCCACCACCCAAGGCTGAAGCCAAAGCCTGAGCAAAGTAGCTTCTCTGGGGCCCCTGTGGTGTGGGGTCCCAGACAATTGCTCTGCTTGCTACCCCCTAATGCTGGCCTTGGCTTTTATATGCAGAAAACCAGTTATTGTGGCACAGGTGGGCCGTGGAGTTTTTATAGCATGTTGGGGGGAGGGTGGCACAGGGACTCAGAAATAAAACCATTGAGAACCCCTGGTGTGGTGTCTCCCCCATCCCCCCTCCATCTGGCTCTCATGAATAGATCTTTTCTCCATTCACATTCTATCTGGTATAATTTTTTCATCTGTTACCCTTTGCCACAAACATACATCACCTCTGCCTCTCAATACCTGGAGGCAGAATCATAGGAAGCAGAATTATATTTCCATAGAAGGGCTGTATACCAAAAATGTCACCTAAAGGTCGCAAAGAGGTTCATGTAACTCTTTTGATGTCATGCTTACTGTCACCAAAAGGGTAGGTTCCAAAAGGAGTAAAGATTTTCTAACATGAAATCTGCCTGTCAGTGAGGTACAAGTGATACATTACAGGCAAAAATGAAACCGTGTGACCTAAGTTCCCTTTAAGCTGCACAGCTGCCTATTAAGCCCTGCACAGGCGCTCAGGGCTGTGGTGGGAAGAGATGCCTCTCCCCCGTACGGACAGGCACCCCTTCCCCAGTTCTAAGCTGCGGCAACAAGAGAGGGCTGTCCCCACCACAGCCCCGGGGCAGCCTGCACCCCAAAACCCTCATCCCGGCCCCACCCCAGAGCCTGCACTCCAAGCTTGTGCCCCAGCCCTGAGCCCCCTCCCGCACCCTGAACCCCTCATTCCTGGGCCCACCCCAGAGCCTTCACCCCAGCCGAAGCGCTCACCCCCTGCAACCAACCCTTTGCCCCAGCCCTGAGCCCCCTCTTGCACCCTGAACCCCTCATCCCCACCCCAGAGCCTGCACCCCCAGCCAGAGCCCGCACCCCCCCGTGCCTCCTCCCACACTCTGAACCCCTCGGCTCCACCTGCACAACGTGAATTTTATGTGCACCAATATGAAGGTGATGTGTGCACATAACAAAATTCATTCTGTGCATGGATGTAAAAAATTAGAGGGAATGCTGCCTATGACATGTTCAATTTTTCAATGGTGCCCTGTTATCTGAATGTTGCTTTGCTTCCCTGGTCCCACTGGAGCACCTCTTAGCAGCAGAGATTGCAGTTTCTCTGCTTACTCTGTGAACCAATCTGTCATTCACACCCACTTTCAACTGCTTTTGTCAAGAGGACAGGGTTCATGTTCCCTGTGGAAACAAGGCCATATTCTCCCAAAATAATTAAAGTATGATGCCCTTTTATGATTCTGCAAACAAAATAAGCTGAGAATGTACATAAAATAAAACACTTTAAATATTAACTGTAGCATTCAACCACCAAGAATGGGCTGGTGAATCCATCATAAACTTAGGTATAACTAGGTTTTTTTTTTTATAACATTCTAGTATATAATATAAATGACTCATGTAATTAATGATTCTGTCTGTATGGTGTTTATAGCATGCTCAGTACAGTGGTATCTGAGTGCCTTACACATTTGAGAAGTCAACCATTATGGATCTTTGGTAAAAATTTTCAAAAATGACTAATTGCAGATGCCCAATGGGAGACATCTTAACAGGGGCCTGACTTTCACTGGGCTGGTGTTCAGCAGTGTCTGACAGTCAGGCTAATTTACTTATCTCATGTTGGGCACCCAAGCACGGATGCACCCAAAATCATTGGTCCCTTTTGAAAATGTGGACCTGTGTTTTGTGGACCTTTTTTCCCCATTCTCCAGTTAGACACCAAAGACCAGCATGTCACTTTGCTCAGTCAAAAGAAATCAGTGATGGTCTGAAATTTCTAACAACCTTTATGCAGAAGAAAATGTACTTGTCTGGGGAAAACAACTACAAACTTGCTGTGTCAATAAAGAATCACAAAAGGGAACAAATCCCTTTTTGCTTCTTTTGCAGGTCATCTTTAATTACAGCTTACTGCCTGCCTTTATTCAGGCATGCAAAGATGTAGCTTATTTAAAAAATGGTTTAAAAAATTAGATTTTAACAAGAACTGGAAATAAATCAAATAATTGCAACATTTTAATTTTTTTTTAGATTCTAAAGAGTTTAAAATGTCATCTCCCCAAAATCCACAAGCGCAAAAGAATGTCTCACCTTCCATTCTGGGATTCAGAACTCCTTTCGCTTCACTCTTCTCCTTCAAAAAATCAAGGAAGCACAGTTTAAAGCATCAGACTCGGCAGCAGCCACGGTGAGCTATACACAACAGGTGTTCGTTCTACTACTTAATGGTAGTTAGAAGAAGAAAATTAATTGTTTCGTGCCTCGCTTGCAAAACTTTGTGTACAGCTCCCTTTAAATTAGATGCTCCTCCAGCCTACTGCTTTTCACATGTCCCAGTAGGAGCATGATTTTATTTGGTTATGTAATGCGAAGTTATCAGTTAAATGTCAGAAAGAATAAAGACTAAGTAGAAAGTAAGGGCCAAATTCCCATCCTTTGATGAAATTTCATTTGCTGAGGCTTTGCACGAAAGCGGCATGGTTGTTACGGTCTCCGGGCTATAACAGCAGCTCTAGCCCATTATGCCCCTTCTTCATGGAGCCTGGATAATAGATTCAAGTAGTTTGTAGACACATTGGCAACACCTCACTGTCAAACCCCTCTTTGTGATGCGATGTTGTTGTTGTTGTTATTTATATTGAGGTAATGCTTGGGGTCATCAGTCATGGATCAGGGGCACATGGTACAAGGTCCTTTTCAAACACACAACAAAAAGGTGGACCCTGCTATGAAGAGCGTACAGACTTATTGTAAGACAAACTTAGATTGTAAGCTCTTTGGGGCAAGGACTGTCTTTTTTGTTCTGTGTGTGTACAGAGCCTAACAAAGCAGGGTCCTGACCAGGGATCCTAGGTGCTATAATAATGCAAATAATAAATAATACGAGACAACAGGTAGATGCAACAACAGACTGGGGGAGGGGGAAGAAAGCACAAGGTAATAATGAGACAATACTGGTCAGTGTGATAAGCAGTTGTTTTAGCACACCAGCTGCTTAACAGTTGGTGAGGTTTTTGTATTGCAGCAGGGGAGAGTTTTAAGGTGGGATCTGAAGAGGGACAGTGAGGTAGCCTTGCAGATGTTTCCAGAGAGCTCCTCCCACATTAGCAGAGCAGCAAGGTGACAGTAATTGAAAATTACTGGCCCCCCGTGAGTGCTGGGAAGCAGATACTAGCCGTGGCACAGCACAGTCCAGCTGTTCCCTCTCTTTCTTCACCTTTGGCATAACCCCTACACTGGGGACTGGGAGCAGGACCAATGTAGAGCTCTCACATCCTCTCTATGCAAACCAGGGTGGCACTCTGTATAGGGAGTATTCAGGAGGCCATTCCATGCTAGCAAAACAGCATAAAGGAGCATTTGTGTAACTGAGAAAGAGAATAGGGTTTCAGGAGGGATATACCCATCTACTGGTGTGAAATCAGTCTTGGGGGATGAGATCAAATGAAACCAAAGCCTAGGGGGCTTCAGATTCTGGGCTCTTCAATTTGGCAGCCTTTACCAGTATTAAAATGGCTCTTTTGAAAAAGCAATAGAAGATGCATATAATGGTATGTACTCACTGCTTTGGTTTTCCTAATTATATATTTATCCTAATTTTTTAACAGAAAATGTATAAATTAGATCTCGGATTCAGATGATCTTGACCAATGGTGGGCAACCTGCGGCCCATCAGGGTAATCTGCTGGCGGCCCGTGAGACAGTTTGTTTACATTGACCGTCTGCAGACATGGCCGCCCGCAGGTCCCAGTGGCTGTGGTTCGCTGTTCCCGGCCAATGGGAGCTGCTGATAGTGGTGGCCTGCACGTCCCTGCAGCCCGTGCTGCTTCCCACAGCTCCCATTGGCCGGGAATGGTGAACCACAGCCCCTGGGAGCTGCGGGCGGCCGTGCCTGTGGACGGTCAGTGTAAACAAACTGTCTCAGGGGCTGCCAGCAGATTACCCTAATGGGCCGCATGAGGCCCGCATGCTGCCTACCACTGATCTTGACTCATTACAAGGCAGAATTTGAAAAATAAACAGCAAGGCTATTCTGATGTGGAGCTGAGCCAATTACTAAATAGCCTAGTCACGTCTCCCTACTGAAAACTTCTCCGCCCTTTCTAGGTGTTGTCTTTGCATGTGACTTGTTTTATGTGTAGATGAGCAATAAAAATACTTTGCCTGTCACCAGGTAAAGTTATTTGGAGAGTAAATGATATACAATAGGCAGCAGCACTGTAAGTCATGTAAGTAAGCTTGACTGGCAGAAGCCTGTAAACAGCTAGATATTAGCGACTGTTTAAATGGTACTTTGTCTCTTTTGGGAAAGAGGGGGAGGAAAGAAAAAGTGTCATCTGCTGTGGGGTGTTTTGTTGTGGGAAAAATATTATGGAAGGCTGCAAAAAGAAGTCTCTTTACGTGGAGCTATTTAAGAGGCTAATAAAAGGGTTGTAACACCAAAAGTCTGCAGTAAGTACAACCTGTGATTGTTTTCGATTCTAGGCATTTGATGTTTTAAGTTATTCTTCTCCTCTTCTTATAGCATGTTTAAATTGGTGTTACATTTAAAAAGAAGCGCTAAATTTTACTTAACCATGTGTTTTCAGCATGCTTGCATAATTTGATTGTTGTGTAGCTAGGTACTGTGTAATGCTCGTACAAATATGAAAAGACTCATATGAATACTAAAAGGAATTAGACTGCGATCTGAGAGAGAACCCAGGCACGGGCCATTGCAGATTCGAGCCCGACTGAAACTAACAATTTGCTTTAGAATCCATCTCATGGAGTTATTGTGTATTATTATTAAATACAATCACTCTTTTAGTGTTGCACTCCATAATCAGCTGTCTAGCTACAGGTACCTAGTTTCGTGTGTGTGTATGTGTGTGTGTGCGTGGTTTGATGACCAAAAGAAATCAAATTATTTCTGGTTTCTGTGGTAATGAATTTAAGAAATACTTGCATGTAGGAAAATAAACCTTTAATTTCAAAATACTGACAAACTGGATGGAGTTCAGAGTAGAGCAATGAGAATGATTAGAGGGCTGGAGGGACTGATGTAGGACACAAGATTATTGTAATTTGACTAGGAGACAACAAAGGAGGAACATCATCATCTATTACTTAGAGTGCTAAGAACAAGGATGAGGAAAAATTATTTAGGATGGTGCAAGGAGGTGTAACCAGGAGTAATGAGATTAAATTAGGAAAGTGAAAATTTGGCCAGAATATTAAAAAAAACCCAACATTTCTGATGGCTAGATCTATTGGAAAAGGAATAATGGATGTCCCACTGCTTGGAATAATTAAAACTGGGCTAGGGACAGCACTTGCAAGTGTGCTGTACAGAACCATTTTCCATCTGCAAAGTTGAAGCAGCCAATAGAATTTTTTCCATTTCTAATGGAATAAGACTTGAGATTGTTTACAAAACAGAACACCAAACTCGCCGCATTTGGTTTGAAAGAAATCATTGTAAAGATTCCGAAATACCACAAGCTCAACTCTATACACTGTGTTAAAAGTGTTAATGCATATTCTGCATCATGTAGCTTAAAGCAAAAGTTAACTATGGCTTTGAGATCTGATTCTGAAACCCTTACACACACTGAGTAGTAATCCCATTGACTTTGATGGGAATATTCACATGATTAACTGCTATCAAGCAGAGTTAAGGAGTGGAACAGGCTCATAGAGCCTTATTCTGCAAAGCCCATGGAAATCAAAGGGAATCTTTCCATACGCTTCAGTGGGTTTTGGATGATGCCCTCTATGAGGAAGAGATCCTGATTTTAACCTTCCCAATTGCAAAAACAAAATACTATCCCTTCCAACTGTTCTTCCCTGCCTGCAAGCGCATTACAAACAAATGACAAAGCACAGTGGGAAGAAAGACTCGGATACACAGAACATGCCAACAAGCCAGTTTATACTTGCTGCTGAAGCACAATAAAATATTTTACCTCAGTCCAGTGAAAGCCTTAAGAACCAAAATAAATAATGACTGTAAAAAAAGACTTTCATAGACAGGAGCGATCACAAAAAATGAGAATAAGCAAAACAAAGCCCTCTGGGAGGAGGGCTGAACAGTTAAGAGCAACCACAAGCTAGGCAAAATTCTTTTCAATACCCTTTTGGAAGGGGATAGGCATGTTAATTTTTAAACAAAGGTCTGCAAGTGGGAGAAGGAACCATATCTTACTGCAGTTGGTTTAATTTCCTCATTTGAATTAGGAACTTTTTTTTTTTCACCTGTGTGGGTACAAATCCATCTTGCTTTACTCACGTGAGTATCCCCATTTAAATCAGCTGCACTTCTCTTTTTTCCTTTGGTTATTTATTTAGTTAGTTAGATGTATACACTCATTCCATTAAAAAGAGTGCCCGTCCTTTGCTCTTGGTGCCCCTGGATACATTTAAAAAACGACAATTCTAAAAATACATTATTTCATATACAATCCTCTTTTGGCCAATAATTAACATTAATGCAGCATCTAAAAAATGACTGAAGATCCTTACAAGGACTCCCACCAGAGTCCTGGCAATCCCTCACAACCTGGGATAATAGTTAGGTCTTGCAGTGTGCACTGAAAGTTGAAAAACTAGGATTACTTTGGACTGGTGGGAGCAAATTCCCCAGGGCCTTATAGAGAATCATCTGTCAGTTCCCCCACTTTTTTATACAAATGGGGTGCCCCTGTGATCTCCACTGTGGCAATTTGGGACAGAAAGAGAGGCAGTCTTTCAGAGAAGTAGCTCTCAGGCCATTTTGAGTGTTATAGGTCATATAACCAAAACCTTCGATTCTCCTCAGTATTTAATAAATTCTTGTCACTTGGAAAATGACCTACGATTGCAAAATAACCGTTTATGTTAGAATGACAGATGCAGAGTTACCTTACTGATATTCCAACAGCGTAAATGCCATTAATCTGAGGTCCCTTCTTGGCTGTTCACTTGGAACATTAACAAGTTGCAGATTCGAGCAACCTGATGGGTGAAAAAAATATATCAGAAGATGCATTTGAGAAACAACATGACAATCTCTGTGGACTCTTCATAAAAAGTATTTTCGGAAGCTTCTTGCTGGCTATTAAAAGGAAGGAAACCGGTTATTTACGCCCTTGTAAAATGTTATTGCGTTCATCTTCAAAGTAGCATTTTAAATTCTTTTCACAGATATGACAGCTTTGCTCTGGGCGCTCATACTTCTTCCAAACTTGAGGAAATGGCACAGGTAAGTAGCTTGGTAACTTTATTGTCAAAAATGTTTAAAGCAGGGAATATTTTGAGTACTAGTCCACTGTCTTTGTAGAATAGACTTTATGTCCAGCTGGCTACTTATTTAAACATGACTCTTGCAATTCTGTATTTAAATACATGGGGAAATTCATATGTGGTGTAAGCCTGTTGAATTCAGTGGTGTCACACAAGAGATGAATTTGCCCCATTTATTGTACGAGTGTCTCCAAAGAAGTCCGCAGTCTAACTTCTGCAGTGCAGTTTCAGTTCTCTTTAACAAGGAAATTATTTAATAAATTATTGTTACGGGACAAACACAAGATATATTTTGTTAGTAGTAACCAAAGCGCAAATAAATGTGAACTCACTTTGAACAAATATTTACCGTTTGGATATATTTATAATTGTTTTAGTTTTATTTGTTGCATCTGTGCTTACAAACAGGTTGAGCATATATCCACATGATTTCTGGCTTCAGTGCAAGTTTACATTCAGATGCAGATCATTCAGATTCTGTTAGGCACAGATTCTGCCACCTTTACTGGTTCTAGTGATGTCAGTGGGACTGTCTGTCTAGTAAGGGGCTTTTCAGTGGGTGAAATTCACCCCCATGCAGACAGCCTGCACGAAACCTATGAACCACTTAAATCCTATTTTTAGGCCTTAAGTGGGAGTTAAGCGATGCATAGGCCTTGTGTCGGTCTTATGCATGGGGGTGAATTTCACCCAGTGAGAGTAAGATTTGGTCCAACAGTATTTTTTGTCTGATTCTGCAAGCCCTCGGTGTACAGAACTCCCATACACTGAGAGTGCTATGCGCTGAGCTTTTATAGGAATGAGGCTTTTTGATGTCACGATGAACTACTTTAGCTAAATAGAGCCTGGGCACTAGGAAGGCTCCTTTGTGTTCTAACTTCAGGTGATTTGCTTTGGCTGGATGCTCCAGATTGGTAGCACACGGACATTTCAAGCATGAGGCACCAAATTCCTCTCTGGTGTGACTTCAATGTAGTCCTTGGATATCAACAGAATTACACCTGGGATGAAGTTGGCTCAGAGTCTCAGTTTTAACCATTTCATTGCCCTGTATTACTAACATGCCCTCTGTTACATGGTGTAATCAGAGAGGAGACAACTGAGGGCTTGTCTACACTTACAGTGCTGCACCAGTGCAGCTGTGCTGCTGTAGCATTTACTGAAGATGCCACCTACACTGACAAGAGCTTTTCCCATCGGCGTAGATACGCCACCTCTCCGAGAGGCTGTAGCTATGTCGATGGGAGAAGCCCTCCCATTGACATAGTGCTATCTACACCAGGGTTAGGTCGGGTTTAACAACATCGCTCAGGGGTGTGGCTATATTACACCCTTGAGTGACATAGTCATACCAACATAAGATGGTAGTGTAGACCAAGTCTAACAGGGAACATAAGGGTATACAAATAATGAACAGTATCAAGAAGATAAATTGGGCACTCCTACTTACCCTCTCTCATACTTCCAGAACAAGGAACCTAATGGCAGAATTTAAAATTGATAAAAGGAAATACAATGCCCAGATAGCCTGAGGAATTCATTGTCACAGTATATCATTGAAACAAAGATCTGAGCAGGATTCAGAGAGACTGGATGTTTATATGAATAACAAGAACATCCAGAGTTACAATAGAAAAGATTTTTTTTTTTTTTTTTAATGAGTGGGACCAGATGCTTAGCTCATGTAAATCAGCCAAAATCCATTAAAGTCAGATATGGTATACTGGACTAGATGAATCATCTGTCTGATCCAGTCTGGCAATCCCTACATTTTTATGGAATTTTGGTCCCGTATTACACAGGAATAAAGGGCTCATTCAGTCTTTCCATGTGCATTTGCTGGCTCTGCACCAGTCTGATCGATCTTGAGATCACTCAGACCAGAGCAGGAAAGGTCATGAAGGGACTTCACCCCCATTCCATGGTGGGACCCAAAGAGGTGCTCAGCAGAGAATAGCTCATACAGTCAGCATTCTGGTCCTCCATTTTAGTCCCCCTAAAGGGTGTCCCTTTCTCATGATGTGACCCAAAGACTTCTTAATGGTAACTGGCAAAGGGCAGTGAGGTACATAGGGGCACAGCAATCCCCTGGGTTCACCAAAAGAATGTAATGTAAGGTCTCTAATGAAAGCCTGTGTCACACAGGTCATCATAATCATTCAAAGATGTATATACCGAAACTACGTGAGATTTGTATATATGCTGAAAATTGTGTTCTCTAGGCCTTCCATTTAAAGGCAGGTTCTTTCAAAGGTAGCTTGCCTTGAGGGAAACTTCTCCAGACAGGTAGTGAGACACACTTCTCTCCTTAGCTAACCTTTGTGTATCTCACAATGGAAATCTGTTAGCACACTGAGTCTAATGCTAATGAAGAGTCTGTGGAGATTTCAGAAGGAAATTAACAGGAAGAGGTAAACAGCAGGAGGAGGGGAGGAACCCTGTTTTCAGAGGAAGATCAAAGGTCTAAGGTCATATATCTGGGGGTGCAGAGAGATGCTCTGGCATCCTTCAAGCTGGGAAGACAAGCTGGCAGCAGGCTTGATCTTATGACAAGGGGAATCTCAGCCACGCTGGTTGAAAACACTGGGAAAAGGACTTGGGGTAAGCTATCCTGTAGGAGACTGGAATGCCATGTGTGTTAAGTTTAGGCTCTAGCAAATGTGTTATGATTTTGTTTTATATGTATCAGTTTGTTTCTAATAGTCTTACTATCATTTGAATCTCAGTTGTTTAATAATAAACTTTATTCTTGTTTTCACTGTAAATGTATCTAAGTGCTGTGTGTTAAATGGAGCAGTGATCCTGTGTTGAATCTAGTAAGCTGGTGTGTGCTATTCCTTTGGGAGCAGAGAATCTGGGAGTTGTGTGAGTGCTCAGGGGACCAGGGCTTGGCACTCCAGAGAGATGTTTGGGAGCTAAGGGGTTGTGTGTGCCTATAGCTAACCTGTACAGAGAGAGCAAGGCCTGCAGAGGCCTGGAAGGCAGTGCTTGTGTTGCCAGAGGCTGATGTAATTAGGTAGCTGATCCATGGCAGGCACAGACCAAGACTTTCACAGATTAAGGGCATGTGGTATAGCAAGGTACCTCCCAACCCTGGATAACCCTGGGAAGAATCACACATGACCAAACTGCAACTTCTGTGTGGGATTGCTTCCCACTGGGGTGGACTGGGGAAGGGGGAAACAGGTACTTGTGAGACTGATTAGTAATTACTGAATTTTTTTAATTAGTGCGCATGTGAAAGTACAATTTTAAAACTCAAGAGTAAAGCATCACAAATGGAATTTGTTTCATTAAACCATTACTAATCAGTCTTTACTGTAATATTTATAAAATACTACTAAATTAGTTGTAGTATTGTGTAAAGATGAAATCTTAGTATAGGAGAGGTGACTGCGGTATTTACATTTTTGCTGGGAGGTGAACACCACCTGTTGTTGGCGTGGGTTGTAAATGTGCCCATTAAAGAAGAATGGATTAGGAAAATTTAAATTACAGAGGCAATATCCTACTAGAATGTATTTGGAGGTGAAATGAGTAAACAGCCAACAACTACAAATATCAGTTATAATACAGAACCACCATTAATGTGCTCTGGACAAGAAGATGTGCCACAGCCTCTGGACAAGAAGATGGACTAAAATCCCCCCAAAATCAAGTGAAAGTCTGAACTATAGATGGTTGTTCCAAATCCCTTGTTCTTACTATGTAGAGTTTAATACTTCAAACATGCAGCACTGTGACTTCAGGCATATGTTATTAAAAAGAATATTAGAACCCATTAGGGTTTTCTCTCCTCTTTTTCATTTTAAGATGATTTGTTTTGCTATGAAAATAAGCCATACAGTCTCTCAAACTTTTCAACAGGCTGAAATATGCAACTCATCTTTACCAGCTAAACTACCTGGTAATTTATTTGATGCAACTCAAGCTGAAATGATGGAGGACAGTGCACCTATATGGAATGAACAGCTAGAAAAAGAGTTCTTCCGTGGTAAGTGTGTGCACTCATGCTGTTTTTAGACTGTAGTACCAACAACACACATGTAACTGGATATGGGAGACATAGGTGCTGGAACTAAAGGTGTTGGGGGTGCTGCAGCACCCCCTGGCTTGAAGTGGTTTCCATTATGTACAGGGTTTACAGTTTGGCTAAAGGGCTCTCATCACTCCCATTATAAAAATTGTTCCAGCACCCCTGATGGGAGATCCTTTCTATAAATGAAGTCTCTGTAGATTAATCCAAGTCTGATGAGTACAAGTATATTTGGGGGCAGGATTTGAATATGGAGAAGGTATCTCCTTTCAAAACCTGATCTGGTTGCTGACATAGTACATTACGCTTTTCAGCATAATTAGTTTGACAACACTAATAAAATAGCTATCTTTTTCTGTGTAGTTCTAGGTGATCTGGATGACCAGCTGGCACAGGAACAAGCCCAAGATTCAGTGAACAGAAAGCGTCTAGTTGACAGTGGACCAAGAGCACAATATCTGTTTCCCAGTACAAGCAGACAGACTGCTATTAGGGGACGACACAGAAATAACTGCAGTGAAACACCCAGCACATTTTTCTCTGATGCAACAAGAACAATAAGAGCCAAAGAGGATCATAAAATTTTCTACAGACCAAGGAAATTTTATGATACATATATGAACAGACGCCATTCAGCCTCTAAAGAAGATTACATGCACAAGGATTCATTAGACAGTAGTTATCCTGTTCTGAGCAGAAGGCTGTCTTCTGTATCTTTTGGAGAGTCCTCAGAAGGTAGCTTGCATCTTCCTTCCATAAGACAGGGCAGTGGATTTGGACACAACAGTTATATAGGCAAGAGTACAGTTGGGAGAAGTTACTCTGTGTGTTCTCTTCAGAGATATCCATCTTCTGCATCCCCTGACCCATTTTCAACAACTAGTTTACAAAATCTATTGGCAACAGAGAACAACAGTGGATTTGTACAAAGGAACAATCGGCAAACCCCAAAGCGAATTCCCCTCTCTTCTATTGTATGGAATAAACCATATACTTCTGGACATACATCAAATCAAGACAATCTTTTTAGGACTCAATCATTAACGGAATATAATGCCACAAAACAGGATACATATCCTTGCCCTCTGCATGAAAACAGAGAATATGAATTTTACCGGTCAAAACACCATTTCAGAAGAGCTGTGTCAAGTACTAATTGGTTTAGTAGCGTCAGTTGCACAGACAAAGCTGCTACTTCATTATCCTTTGATAACTGGGAGAATTATCCATTATGCTGGTTGGAAAACAACCTCTCTAGGTCCCACTATAGAGATACAGCTTGTCATGGTAGGTTCCAAATGCACCAAAAGAGTTCTCCTTTTGGAAGAAAAGAGGAGCACCCTTCCTGTTCTGATATTTATCAGTACTACAATGATGAAGTGTTTCTTTCCCCTGATGCTCACTGTGAAATGATTACATCTAATTTAAATGACCAGCAAAGTGCACATGCAAAGAATGCTAAACTTGCTTCACAGTGCCGTCAGAGTGGCTTTCAAACATGTGTGTCAGAGAACAGAAACAGTGCGGAGATATCAAGTGGTGCAAGTAGTAAACTGCTTTCAAAGAATTCAAAAGGCCTTCAGAGCTGTCTCACTTATAAATCTGCCATTACTTCACGCAGCATCAACGCAGATGTGTCTAATGAGTCTGTCTTACTGGGTTCAAGGGTCAAAATGAAATTGGTAGCAGAGAACAGCAGTTCTGCCACTAAGGGTTCCCAAAGCGAGCCACAGCCTTTGGTTACCCAAACGAATATTAAGAAAGACTTTAAAAAAGCTGCTTCAGACAAGGTCAGAGACTTGGAACGATCAGGCAAGGCAGACCAGAAGAGTATTAAAGACATAATATTACAGCCAGTTTCTCAGAAAGTGGATACAAAAAATACCATTGATCCCCAGATTTCTCCTTCTAATAATGCTGCTGCCTTGCAAAACAGCACATCTATTCTTAATTCACCTCTCTCACTGAGTTCACGCAGACAAACCCAGCTCACCGCTACCAGAGAGATTACAAAAAATAGCATATCAAAGAGTTGTAAAAGAAACCTACAAAGAAAGGAAAATGATCTTCCTGCTCACAGTGAACTTAATCAGGCCCCTTCTCTTCTGTCAGTTGATGAGAGCAGAAGGGGATCGTTTCTTTCAAATCTAAAGCAATGGGAACATAATCTTTTTAATTCAGCAAAAAGAAAAGGCATTAAATTAGGAAGCCAGAGAGCAGAAACTACTGATCATATCACTCCTAAGGGAGAGTCTTTCCTGGTAGATGTTCTACAAAGTAGTGCATCAGTTCATTCTGCTCCAATTACTGAAACATTGGCAAACCATCAAAGCATATTGCCCAGTCCTCCAGAACTTCTGTCTCATAGTTCACAAGGCTCTCTAGAAGACTTTTCTCATAAGAGTTATCTGAAATCTTTAGAAACTCCAACTAATTCTTCAGTGAATTGCAGAGTTACTGAAGCTCCAGCAGAAGGTGGGAAAGTAGTTGAGTTGGCAGAAATTGTTGCAAAAGATATTCCCCAGGAAAAACCCAAAGATCAAAATATTTTTGCCAGTAAGGACCATAATAGTCAATTAACTACTGGTGATTCACAAAACAGGAACTGTGAGAATATTTATGCACATAGTTTTGACAGAAGCCCAGAGATTGCAGAACGTAGTTTAAACTATTTTTGTTTGGAAAGAGAAAATGGAAAAACAAGACAAAATGCATCTTGTACTGAAAGTCTCTATAGGCAAGGAAGGTTACTGAGACACACACATAGTAGCAGCATTTCTGGCTCTCCTCATAAAAGCAACCCTAAGTCTCTGGAGCCTCCTGTCGTTTATTACACTTTACCTAGAAAATCAGCTAGCATTGCTGGCAGTGTAATGTCAGATATGTCCATCTCTTTCCCTAAAAGCAAAACAGACAGGTGGGATCATGTAGAGAAGCAGAACTCAGACAGAACTGCTGCCTTTTCTTTTAATCAAGAAGATAAAATATCTTCTTTAGGATCAGCGCATTCTTCAATAAGACAAATACCTTTAGATGGTATTACAGATATCAAAGGAAATGTCCTGCAAATTAAGGATCACCCTTTGTCTCTAAACAGGAGCCCTAACCACTCCATAAGTGGAAGTACAGTAGTCTCTGAATCAGATGGACTTACAGAGAGAGAGAAACTTGTAAACAAAAAAGAATCCCCTGTATTTTCAGACTGTTTGGAAAAGGAAATGGGGGATTCTTTGCAGAAATATAGAACTATTAGCACATTTACAGTTTCTGGTGATGAGGATCATGTTGAATATCACGAGTTGGTTTCAATTTATTACACCTTACCACGGAGTCATTCAAGAACATTGTGTAACCTCTTTCTAGACGATCCAGAGAGGACAGCTTTACCTCTTTTCACAGAAAAATCTAAATCACCAAAAATGCCAAACAAGAACTCTGAAGTTCATATGGGTTTAGCAAATGTAGCTTTTCCTAGCACCTTAGAAAAAGAGAGACCCCCACATACTCCTGATCAAACTCCTGCAGCTTCAATGACACCCCAGAATGCAAAGACAGGAGCTATTGACACTGATCAGGAAAGCTCACATTTTTCTCCCAGCACTGAGAAAGTATGTACTTCACAATCAATGAGCATTGTACATAATAACAAAGATATTTCACCAGGGCTTGCATTAAAAGAAAGCACATCTGTACTTCCTGACATGGTGACATCAGACATTTCTATTCGTGATCCAGAATCCACTGCAGAAGCAGATACTTCTGTTAAGGCAATTTCTACTGTTTCACACAACCAAAATATTGATATATGCTTTTCTTCAGGTAAAGAAAGTAAAGAGAAGGAGGACATATTGCATACTGACACACCGTTAATCTCCACTTTGTCAACCCCCCAAAAACCCAAAGACCCTCCAGAGAAAGTTTTTAATTTTACTTCTGCAATTGATAATACTAATCGTGTGCAAAACAGAGACTCCAAAAATTGCCAGCAATCTATTAAAGTAGGAGGGAGTAACAATCAGAATATTTTACCACCCCAGTTAGATAAAAATAGTTTCCATGAAGGAAAAAGTCATATAGAGTCTGCAGTCAATAAAACACCAATAACCTCTGCTGAAAGTAAATCTAGACATGATGCAGGAGCCAAAGAGAGATCAGATTTTCAACAGCAAAGCATTTCCCTATATAACAATAAATGTACTGGATTTCAATTAGGAGCTGAAAGTTCCAGAAATAGCACCGATGAAGCATTAATTTCTGATAGACAAATGCTTCAAAATTCACATAACAAACCATTTCAGCTTGGCACGGTTTCTGCAGCTAAACCTGTACTTCAACCAGCCAAAACAGGTATCCCAGACACACATGAGTTAGTGAGCCCCAAAACTAAACAAGAGCAAATATCCCTGAACACTCAGATGGACAAAGATTGCACTAGTTTGCAGAAAGCTGTGACGTACAGTGAAGATAAACTCTCCAGTGTCACACAGAATCTGCAAAGTGCAGTGAACAAAAATAAGCTTAGGTCTGATGGCACTAGAGAGAAAGTCAGTAATATAGAAAAAAGGAAAAACAGGCCCTCAGTTAAAAATGAAGTGGCAGCCATTTACAAAACAAGCCGAAAATTTTCTAGTAAAAATGTAAACCCCAAACCACACGTACGTAATATATTTTCACAGAATGATGGAGGTACCACTTCGTTAGAGATTAACATGACCCACAGCACATTGCGTTCCCCTGCTTCTACCCAGCCATTTCTGCAAACTGGGAATGAAGACCAGAATCAAAATCTGACCCCTGGTGTTTGTAACAGCCCTGTTCACAAAATATCTGAGAAGAATAAGAGATCACAAGCTAATGATGACTCTCCGTTGTTAGTTAAAAACAAGAATCAAGGGCCTTTTGCAAATTCATGCAACCAGAGAAGAGAAGTCAACAATCCCAAACAAAATGAGAATGAAGTGGAAAGCATGCTGAGCCCCACAACCCTATTTCCAAAGGAAAGAGCTGCAAGAAGTAAAAATTCCCAAACACTTGGCCAGGGGTTGGAAAACAGAAATCAGACCATCTTTTCCAGAGCTACTGAAGCAGATTCATCAGGCAATCAAAAGAGAACAAGTACTGGTAGTTCCTATGATCCTCTACTGTTGCCATTTTTAACTGACAAAAACTCCAACCCGTTTATAAAAAATATGCAGGCAAGTGTTTGTATTCAGAAACAGGTCCTTTCCCCAGATGAGCGTGATCATGATCAAAACCACCATCGGTCAAAGAGTTTAAAAAATGCACACCTGCACAGTAATCAGTCACGCATAAGTCATGCAAAGAATCAACGTGAACGTCACTTTTCTGAAAGCACCTATACTCAAGATTCCCATGACAACCCTGGCTCTGGAAGTAACTGTCTACCTAAAGAAAGCAGGTACAGTAGAAAGTTTAAATCTTATTCCGAGCTGTGTTCTTGTGATGAAAATGAAAACTGGGCTTCGTATGATAAGAGGAAGACCACCTACGGCACTAGCCGTGTGATGTATCCTTCTATTGAGTTTGGTATATTTGGAAAAGAACAACAACTGGCGTTCCTGGAAAATATCAAGCGATCGCTCACAGAAGGGAGATTATGGAGACCATGTCTTCTTAAAAACCCTGGCTTTCTGAGAAGTGAAGAGACTGATTCTTTAAAGAGGGCTGAGCTCTTGAGCTCAAGTTCTGCTAGGAGCAAAATGTCAGTAGATGCTTCATCCCCAAGAGACCCAATTGACATCTATGGAGAAGAACTAATGGTTTATTCAGACTCAGACACTGATACCACCACAGATGATGAATACTATATTTGTGAGACTGATAAAGAATCAGAATTGTGAGCTCCTCTAATACAAGAGTGAGAGTGAGATTTGGGGGGAGAGATAGCTCAGTGGTTTGAGCATTGGCCTGCTAAACCCAGGGTTGTGAGTTCAATCCTTGTAGGGGGCCATTTAGGGATCTGGGACAAAAACTGGGGATTGGTCCTGCTTTGAGCAGGGGGGTTGAAGTAGATGACCTCCTGAGGTCCCTTCCATAAACATGTAACACATTTTGGGCCAGATCCTGTGCTGGTGTAAATCAGTGTTGGTCCATTGACTTTAATGAAGCTATGTTGATTTCTGAAAGCTCAATTTGGCCATTTTATATTTTAAAAGTATTTAAAACTGTTATTTTCTTTTGCAAGCAAAAGATAAATTCTCACAAATCTTTTCTTAAAAATATGTATTTTATTAAGAAAAGGAAGATGAACGTGGAGCTTTTTATTGTGTAATGATATGGAAGTCTCTCCACTGACTTCAGTAGGAGCTGGATTGAGCTCTTATATGCTAAGTGGCCAGGTACGCACCCCCCCCTTTTGGGCAGAACAAAGGGGGAAAACACCCTATTGAGGCAAGGCAAAAACTCTAAAGAAGAGCATGACAGATGCATGCAGTACACTTTCACTACTGGAAATTGGGTTCAAATCCTTAATACGATAAGTACAGATGAGTGATAGTATGCTTTTAAAGCATCATATGGAAGACATAGGGTTGAAATAGCAACGGTCATTGCTGGCTGGGGCTGAGGTGCATTGCCAGGGTGGCTTCCTTTGTCCTGGGGATGATTCTAGTTTCTAATAATAATGTGTCACTTCACAGAGCACTAAATTGAACCAGAATTTTAAAAAATTCTGTAACTTAGTTCTCTTCTGTTTATTTCCTGTGTTTCATTTCCTACACTTCATGAGCTCAGACCTTAGCTGCATGTAGTTCATGCTGAGCACAGCACTGTTAGTGGGAAAGCAAAGGTGACTCTAAATCACTTTTCCATCTCCCCTAGCCCTCAGCCCAACAGGGGGCTAAAACAGTCCTTAACATATCTTAGAATAGCCCAAAAAGCTACTGTAAATGGCACCAACAAAGCAGTCCTAGGAACTACTGTGCTGGCTGAAGATTGGGCAGAGTGCTGTACTTTCTGGCCCCATCTTTCCTCTTTTCCCCCTCCCCACTATACCCCTTACTCTGAGGGAAGGAGAGTGCTGGATGAAGCCTCAGCCGTCTGCGTAAGACGGTTTAAAGGGCCTCTTACACCACTCTGGTGGGCACTTAATGAGGCTGAAAGATCTGGCCCCATAAGCCAACATTGTTATTGTTTTTAAATAGCTGCAATTTTTTCTGTATGTAGTGAAGCATGTCAGAGCTTGAGGAGGAACATTTTTTGACATGTTGTGTCTCGCATCTTCCCTAAATTAGCATCTCCCTTTGGTATTTTTCCAACATGCTCTCTGTCATTGCAATACCTTTCATCCTTCGAATAGAAAGGCTATGAATGTTTTCCCTGAAGCTGTTCTCATACCACTTTACTAAATGTTGTATCGGCATTACACAGTAGCCAAAACCCACACCGGGCCCTGAAATCTTGAACTGAGCTTTCATCTCTGGCCACTCAAAATCACAGTAGCTCAGAGCCAGAAGATCACATACGTTTATTTGTACTTAATCTTTACTAACTTCACATCTGGTCTCTAATTAATCTCATTCCAGATTCTGTAAATTTTTTCATTTAATAAAGTTCTCTAAGACACAAATTATATTTATATAGCTGAAAAGACAATGGCGTGATATTTTAAAGTAATATATTTTAGGCAAAGCAAGCAAAGTTTGTATCACTGTATGCTCCACATGAAAAATATTGTATTAGACAATTGGTACCCTTATTTTTGATATTGTATACTTCGTTAAAGAAGTGGAGCGGTAGTTTGAAAGAGTTTTGATGTATAAATATTGTTGTTACATACTTTGATATTTTCTTTGGTTGTACATAAGACTAATATAAACGACATATTTATATTCAGAATTGTTCTTTAGGTGGTATCTATTTTGGAATGATTTGCACATACAGACTGATGCACACAGCATTGGAAGGAAATAATTGCCATGTAAATGTAAACTTGTAAAATATGCTGTTCTGAGAAATGCTATGACTATTTTATGTACATGGTTTTACACCATATATACAGGGTTCCATACCATAAGATTAATAAACCACTTAATACTAAGTAAGGATTTTCTGTTATTATACGTTTACAGGGAGATAAATGGTCATATGATTTGCTCCAGTAAAAGTGGATTATTTGAATGTTCATACTTGTAAATATTTTCTACCCATATGGTGGATTTTGGACTAAGTTCTCATGTTGGATGCATAAAGGAGGCTTTCATTAAATACAGTGCTAGGTATATGACGAAAACAAGGAGCCATACAAAGAAATCAAAATTAGTTTAGAATTTGGTCCTAAATTAGTTGTGCAAGACTGTGGTGGGTCAGAGTGGCTGGTAACTAATGTTTACATAGGGCTGATGTAATTTTGTTAAGAGTCACTCATATAAAAACATGAAGTCAAATTCATCCCTTTCAATAAGAAGATACCGCTCTCCTAAATTGAATGGAGCTACACCATCTTTTGCCTAGTGGTGAATTTGGCATGTTATGTCTTCTACACCTTCTCTTTAGCTATAATATATTCTATAAATGCTTATATATTATAGGATATTAATACTGAAAATGACTGGTTTAAAATAAATGGTGCATACTGCTTAATAAATGTTTGTACTGGTTTCATCTGTGCACTCTAACTCATGCTTAATTATTTTATGCTTTTACAATATCTTAATGCTGCTTTCGGGATGCTGATGCCAAACAATGCTAAGAGCATTGCTAAATAAAAAATTTAGAATTAAGTGTTCAAGCATGATCCTTCATAAGCTCTAGGCATGTCCAAGGATACACTAGAGTTTTCAATGTATTACAAGAACTGTGTGTCTGATTTAGCCACCTTTCAGACACCTATGCACAGAGGAATAACTTGTGCAGATGAATGACTTGAATCGTTAAACTGCCAAGTGCTGGCAGTGGAGATAGATGGCTATAGATTAAGTCAATTATTAGATGTCCACATCTGCAGTTGTACTATAGTCCATACTTTTTTTCCCTCTTTACAGTAGATAACCATTTGGGGCACAAATGCCTTCTCTTCAATCAGAGATAAAATGGTTCTCTATAACAATGCATGCATCTTACTAGCCCTGTATTCTGAGCAGTAGCAAAACATCATTAAACTGAATAGTTTTAAAAACATTTGCAATGATATGTGTGAAGATCACTGTGGCCTTTACATGCAGTGAGAGGATAAGAGAGGGAACCTTCCTTTTGCTAGACGCATGATAGGGTCAATCAAGCGTGGGGCTGCTACCAAGTTGCTCCCCCCGTAAAGTATGATTCCTTGTTTCCCAAATGCCACAAGCCTGTGAGAGCATGAATCCCACTTCAGGAAAGTTCTAGTTTGGGAACTGGTGGCACCATGAGCCACCTACCAAAATGGCCCAGCAACAAGAAAGGAAAAGTTAATTCATGGTCTGGGGTATGAAAAAGCAGGTCGAGCAGCCAGTTTTAGATACTATTAATTGATATTTGGCATAATGCAGCCAGCCTCAAAGGGCGGGGGGGGGGGGGGAGAGGGGGAGTTACACAAATTGTGGGAGGAAAGGAAAGGATTCTCCATCCTTAAGTGCTTTGCTGAAACATGGCCAAGATTCTCTTTCGAGATGTGAATGTAAAGCTGAATATGAGTGTGAGACAACATATTGTGTATTTGTGTGTCCCTACTCCATTCACAATGGTGTCTATATATGGCTCCAACAACACACATGGATACCCTTATTGACTTGACAGGAAGCACCCTTCAATTATTAGTCTGACTTCAATATTCAAAGATAAAGGTTTTGACACATACCTGGGTTAAAGCTAAGGCGGTGGTGTGTGGGTTTTTTTAAAGCTAAGAGCAGCATCAGAGAGTACACGCGCGGTTACCGGCCCATGGGAGCAGCTCTCTGCTCTCCGGGCTTCTCGCACGCTGCGCGACAACCCCGGGCCTCACGCGCGCAGTGCCGCCTCCCCAGCCCCGAGCCCGCGCGCCGACCCGCTCACCGGCTGCGCCCCGGAGCGTGGCGGGGGGAGGGGGGGGGCCTCGGCCTGTTCAGTTAGGCTGGGGGTTGCGGTCAGTCTGCCCCGGGTCAGGCTGACAGGCAACAGGGCCGACTAGGCCGCTCTGGGCGGGCCTGACCAGAGCGCAAGAAGCCAGCCGGGGCGGGAGGAAAGCGGCACCGAGGTAAGAGGCGGCCTCAAACAACGGGCCGGTCCCTGGAACAGCGGGATGTCGGGTCGCCCCCCGCCCCGCCAGGGGACTGAGCGGCCGGGCGGCCGGTCACGGACGGCGTGATAAGCCCAGCCTGACTGCCTGAGGAAGTGGCCGCAGGCGGGCGGGGGGGCGGAGGAACTCCCCTTCCGCCGAGTGCCCCGGGCCCCGCCCCAGCGCGGCGCGCGCCAGCCGCCCGGCCGGGCCCCTCCGCTGGCCGCTCCCGCGACCCACCGCCCTGTGGGCTGCGCTGGGCAGCGAAAGAGCGAGGCCGTCGCGCTCTCGCCCGATTGGCCACAGCACCCTCCAATCAAAGCCGGCCAGCTCGCCTCTCCCTTCGCGCCCCCGTCTCCAAAAGTTGTGACCGCCCGGCCGGCCCCCCACCCTGCGCCTCAGTGGCGGGCAGGAGGATGGGGCGCGGCTGTGCCTCTGTGCTCCCCTTATGGCAGCAGCTGCTGCTGCGAGGAGCGGCTCTGCCGCTGCAGCTTCTCCTGTTGCCGCTCTTGCAAGCGGGGGAGGCTCCCCTAGCCCCTGTCAGTGCAGAGAGGAGCCTGGTTTGGGGGCCCGGTCTGGAACCGGAGCTCACGCTGCCCGTCAGGTATTTCTACATCCAGGCGGTCAGCGCAGCTGGACAGAACTTCACCCGCTCCCCCCCAGGTACTGTGCATGCATTTGCTCTTTGCCTCTGCCCCTGGTTGTGGGTTTTGATCTCCAGGCTGGGATCTGAGCCACAAGCCTGGCTCAGGGGGGTCTGGGGCTGAAGAAGGCGTTGACTTAGGATGAGAAGCGGATCCAAAGAGCCTTAAGTTTTTCTCCCTACCCTTTCCCCCTCCTAGCGCCCGAGGCGCTTTGGTGTGCTCCAGCAACCCGGAATCAATCACTGCTGCTTTTTCATCTTGCAACGTCAGACGCATTTCACAATAATACACGTACGTTTAAACACATAAAGTCTCACTCTGTGATAAGCTCACCGAAAACATTAAAATCCTACATTACTCTTCTACTGTCCAGTGTGTCTTTCCATGCAACGCTGCATCTTCTCTCAGTTTCCTAAATAATAGCAGACAATTAGCAGCATTAAAACAGCGTATTCAGAATAAATTAGCCTCCTGGGACCAGTCTTTGGTACAGCAGTTCCAGCACCCTGTGTTTCAGTGGTAAGGACAAACTAACTATCTCTAATCCAACCACAACCATTAATACTAATCAGATAACTTTTGGAAATATTGCTTTGCTGTTCATGGGTCATTCCTTCTCATTCCTGCTGTGGAAAAATAGCAGGACTTCCGCCTTCTCTTGTCTATTCTGTGTGTACGTGAAATAGCTTGAGGTACATAACTAGTGTGAGATCAGAATCAGGCCCTTAGTGCGGTCATCTATGCCTCTCAGCCTCCCTTGTGCTCAAAAGTCTCAAAACTTATGTCTGAGAAACATCAGTAAGAATTGTAATTAATAATACTTAGCACTAATACACTGCTTTCCAATGTAAACTAATTACATCTCACAACACCTCTGTGTTGCTAGTAGATACATATGCATTATTATCTCTATGTCACAGATGAGGAAACTAAGAGAAATGTGAGTAATTTACCCAAGATAATAGAGGAAATCTGAGGTAGAGCGAGGACTCATGCCTCCCGTCTCTAAAACTCATGTTAAATTGGCAAACCATGCTTCTTTTCCAGTGCAAGCATCATTCCTGCTATGGAACAGAATGTTACTAGATCAGATATAAAGTACTAATCTGCCTCCAGTATTACATTTATATAGAATAAAACATAGATTTTAATGCCAGAATGATCCTATAATCTGACCTCCTGCATAACACAGGCCATAGAACCTCACCCAGTAATTCCTACATCAAGCTTATAACTTCTATTTGCGCTACAGCATATATTTTAGAAAGATATTAACTCTTGATTTAAAGACTTAAAGTGATGGGAGGAGAATCCATTTTATTCCACTGGTTAATTACCCTCAATAAAAATATGTGCCATTTCTCATCTGAATTGCCTAGCTTCAGAATCCAATAATTGAATCTCATTATGCCTCTTTCCAATAAAGAGCCACCTACTACCAGAAATCTCTTCCCTATGTGCGTACTTGCAGACCAGGATCAAGTCACTTCTTAACCTTTGTGTACTAATACGTCTTGTGAGGTATCATTTGAAAACTAGTTCGCTGGTCAATAACATGATGGTGAAATGTATATAACATTATATGTAAAGTTGTGAATGCTCCCTTTATGACGTTATTAGCACATTTTCAAAATCAGACAGCCCTTCCTAGTCAAAAGTTGTTAAACAGATCTATCCTAAACAAAGGAATGTGTGTTTATCTCAATTTATATATAAGTAATAAACAGGGTTTTGGAGACAGCAGGGGGAGGAGATGGCAGGAAACCAAACAATTTGCCTTTTAGCAAGCACAAAGGGGGGAAGAAAGAGCCTGGCATCTCCTTTGTCCACCCCACCCCCCCCACCCTCCGACTCCATGTCACTTTCCTTACTGCTTGAATAAACTTTACTTTGAAAGGTAGCCCTCAGAAGAATTCACTTCAGAGGTTCACTGCACTATTGAGGAAAGGGGCAGAGAACCCCAAGAAAACAAAGGCACTAGGACCCTTGGGCCTCTGGGAGAGATCCTGACCAAGGAAAGGGTCAGTCACCATCTTGCTGGAAGACTGTGGGTGAGAGAGGCCATCTTAAACAAAGCCTTGACTCAAAATTTGCTCGATTAGGTTTTAGATTTTTAGATTAAGTATTTTCACTTTTATTTGCTGGTAACCATTTCCAACTTTATCTCCTGTACTTGAATTAACTTAAAATCCTGTCTCCTTTTGTCAATAAACTTATTTTTAATCTAAACCAATCCAGTGCTGTGTGTAAACTGAACTGTTCGGTAACTCCAGTTAAAGTAACAAATGGTATAATATTGATCGACTCTTTACAGGGGCAATGAACCTTAATACCTGAACTGTCCAGGAGAGGGCTGGATGTTGCAGAAAACACATATTTGGGAAACTCTGGTACTGGGAGGATGTTGGGGTCACCCTGCAAGTTGTGGCAAGGCTGGTGGAAGCCAGTGTGTGACTGGTGTATTGCTGGCAAGAGGCTGGGATCAGAACTGCGGGGCCCGGGCTGGAGCTATACACAGACACTCAGGGTGGCCTGCATGCTGTTTGGCTGGTTCTGAATGGCCCGGGTTGGGAGCTACAGCAGCAAAGTATCATGAAGGTTACAGGGCAGGCAGTGACACAACCCCTCAGTGGTCTGGATTGCACCCCAGAATGTGACAACATTCTTTTCAATAAACTAAATGGACAGTTTTCAGAGTAGCAGCCGTGTTAGTCTGTATTCGGAAAAAGAAAAGGAGTACCTGTGGCACCTTAGAGACTAACCAATTTATTTGAGCATAAGCTTTCGATAAACGGACAGTGCTTTTTAACTCCCTCACTATAGCACTATAAGGCGTGTTTTCCAAACCTCAGATCATTCTTGTAATGCTTTTCTAAATCTTTTCAACACCAGAACTGTATACAGTATTCCAGTCATGGTCTCACTAATGCTATACATAGAGGTAATACCATCTTCCTACCACTTGATAATTCCCTTGCTTATACGTCCAAGACTTGCAGTGAACTGCTTCGTTACAGCATCACATTGGGAGCTCATATTCAGTTGCTTGTCCACCTTGACCTTTTCAGTCCTTTTCAGTATCCTTGCATTCCAAAATACAGTCCCCCATTTTGTAAGTGTGATCTATGTTCTTTGTTCCTAAATGTATGACCTTGCATTTGACTGTAAAGTTAATCTATATAACTGATCTGCCCCCATCATTATTTACCACTCCACCAATGTTTGTCATCTGCAAGTTTTACCAGAAATGATTTGGGGTGTGTGTGTGTGTATATATATATGTATACACACACGCAAAATAAAATAAATCATTGCTGGTAAAATTATATATATATATATAAATAAAAGTATATATATATTTATATACACTTAGATAGAACCTTACCTTCAAATCCCTTCACTGATCTTCCTCTGCATATACTTCAGATATGCCTGCTCCTCTGTTGTTGTCCGCCAGTTCTTTGCTGTTTTTCTCTGTTGGTATCAGTGCCCAATTTGTTTCTTTCTCGTAGCCTGTCTCTGTACCTTTCCCCACTCTATGCATGGAATTCCTTTTTCTTCTGCGAGGGATACAAGAAATAAAAACAATTTAAAAATACTATTTTTTTAAATGACCTATGGATTTCCCAGAGCATCCCATCCTCAGGTACCTGTGGATCTAGATGTCCCTTGATGAGCACTGGTGTCCTGTTGTTGTCCTGTCTCCACAATCCCTGTTGGCCTATAGCAGGTCCTGACTTGAACTGCCACTAGCTAGAAATTAAGGTGTGATTTTTTTCTGAATTCTGTATTTTTCTCGGAACATAACAAGATTGTTTTTGCACAAATAGTTCTAATAGTTCTTGACCTTAAGTTCTTGCTTTGGTTGCCAACTTGCACACACTTATTCATGTCAAGCACGCGTCATTCATACCAGGCCCTCCTCTTAATACATGATTAATGCCATTAATTTATTGTATTACTTTATAATTTTGCAAGCAATTAAATTTTATATATTACTTGCGCCAAAACTTCTTGTCGCTTTTTTATTCGGCAATATAAACATAGCATAATAAAGATTAACAAAATTATTAATGCAAATAATATGACAATGGGATGTAGCATTAAATTAAGAAAATCTGTGACACTGGGACACCGTCCTTTAAAAATACTATACCAGTGAGAAATTGCCAATTCTTTTTCTTCTTTCCCCAATTTTAATATTCGACCATGTGGATCAAAATGTTTATTTTTCCCAGCTGAGCAGACTTAGATACATCTTTTGCATGTTGCCTGATTTTTTTGCTTTTATTAATAAATTTTTCCCATTGTTCCCAATGTATCCGCAGATCAAAAAAACAGTTCATATTTTTTGATTTCCAAACAACTTTTTTTAAAAAAAAATAGAGGACCTCAGTAAATAATTTCATTAATAATTACCTCTGTTACATTACATTTACATGACTCAATTGGGCCTTTTTCTATCATACTTCCCCGAAATATATGTTTTTCAGTGGTTACCACATAAATACACCCGTTCCCTAAATCAAACACTCTTGTGCCATTAGAGGTTAAATATTGTATGGTACATTGTCCGCTTGAATGGTTCAAGTGACATCCCTTTAGGGACCAAGTTAGTTGTCGGCACACCCGTTTACTTTGTCCCCACTTTCTACAATGTTTCATTAATTTTACTAATTTATAATTCCCTTCTTCTTGAATTAAGTTTGTCTCACTTATTTTTATTTGCCATAATTCTTTATTAATAATTTTTGGCAACACCCAGGCCATTGCTGCTTTTCTTTTCTTCCCTGTGTTGTGTAACAGTATTCTGCCTTTTCACTTTCCCCTTAGAGTGTCTTGATCCCAATTAAACTCAATATATTTCTTCCATCCTGCAATGCATTGATTTCATATATGAGGATCTTTGAACCACTTAAAAGGCCATTGCCCATTACTTAACAGATTAATCATTTTCTTTATGTATTGTGTCCCATAAGTTTGCATCTGTACACATCGTATTGCTAGTACAGTTTTATTGTTAATCTCAGACACACCAAATAGATTTACATTTAGAGACGTTTTCAAGCCTTGGGCTTGTTTTAATTGGAGTTCCACACTTCTTGTTCCTTGTTTCGATAATGAACCGACATTTTGTGTCACATGTGTCTGGATAGCCCCCAAAATCTTACCCAAAGCTGACATTTCTTCTTGTAACGTCTTAATATTAAATGAGTTTAAAACTCCAGCTCCAGCACCAATGCTACCTACGATATATTCCCCTATACCGCTCTTATGTCGCATAGTCCCGTCTCCCCATTGTTGCTGCCATGCTTGTAATAGGGGCACTGCGCTCCAGATGTTGTGCACCTATGTTTACTTGCGCTCCTTCCAACCAGATTGTTTGATCCACAATAGCTGAGTCTTTGATTACTTTTCCCCTCCTATATGGGTGCTCATCTGCCATGATTCTTGGTGCAATCTTCTTTACTGATATCTGATTAATAAACATAAAAAACTGACCATATTCCCGAAAATATATTCCCCCATTAATTTTCCTAAAGCAACTCAATCTTATCATTATGGAAGGATTTGCCATTATACCATATTTTCATAATTTAAGAGCCATTTACTCATTTCATTCCACATGAGTATTAGTGACTACATCAAATCCCAAACTCCAACAGGTACAGTTTAGAGCACTTATATTCAGATTGTTTTTATTATAACTAAATTTAAATGTTAGGTGAACTTCCCCCTTAGTATGTACAAATATTTTCACTGCTCTTCCAAATGTTTTGGCTGTAGATATTTCCATGTTACATTTTTGCCATCTTTCCACCATATTTTAAATTTTACCTCAAAAGGGTTTTTTTTTTTTAACATTTGGTTTTGTTTGGTACTGTTTTTTCCATTCTGTCCCATGAATAGTTGAATGTATGATCCCCTTTGATCCATACCTCCATCCTAGAGGTGCTCCCATATATATATCCATGTACCCCTAAACATTCAAAAACCATAAAAGCCAAAAGCCATATTTCCACCCTTTTGAATGATGAGGATCCTTAATATTGAAGCCATGGCCATTATTCCATAGTGTCCGATGCTTCCAGCTGTATTATTCTAAATACTTACACTAACCTTTTTTATCTTCACTCGAGCTCCGGCATTATCTTTTTCCCCCGAAAATATAATGCACACAACTCAATTCTTTTACTAAGCACAGAATGCAAAGAAGCATAAGCAATAAACCAATTACAAAAGTTGTAGCTCTGTATTCACACTTCAAATCCAAGGTCCATACAGGATAATCTCTGGTGCAACTAGGCATTTCTTTTCCTTTGAAAGATAAACTAAAAGAAAAAGAAAGGACCATTATTAATCTTTATGCCATGACTTCAATTGTGATGTGTTGGCCTACTTTCCCTTTTCCCCCTTGTTAATCTGCACTACAGTAGGTGAAATTTTATTTATGATGGAAAATGTCCCAACCCATCTAGACTCCAGGACATGATTTTTTTATATTAATTTTAAATACATTACTCAATCTCTGATTTTTCCATAATTTACTGTCCTGAGCCACATGTGAATCCACATAGGTCTCTTGCTTTTTCAGTTTAAATTTTATTTTTCTTTCAGTTTTATTGGTAACTTCCTTACTCAATGGGTAACTGATACCTCCTCTTCTTCTTTTGGGTACAATAAAGGGCTCCACAATCTCATAGGCCTTCCAAAGAGGATTTGATAAGACTGGTGGCCAGTACCCAACTGATCACTACTTCGGATTGTCGCCAACACCATTGGCAATTTATTGTCCCAGTCTTTGCCAGTTTCTTGCGCTACTTTGCGTAGAGCTTGTTTAATAGTTTGATTCATCCTTTCTATTGTTCCTGACAATTGAGGATGATAGGAGATATGTAGTTGTTGCTTTATTCCTAAAGCTTTTAATAAACTTTTAATTACTTCTCCTACAAAATGTGGCCCATTATCTGAATCAATTACTTTTGGAGTTCCATATCTACTGAACACTACTTCCAACAATTTTTTGGCAGTGATTTCTGCAGTATGATTTCTGGTGGGAATTGCCTCTCCACCCATCTAGGCCTTCGATTTTAATTCCATCTTAATTTAGTTACCATCTCCCACTCCTGAGGACCCATTTCCAGTGGGAGCAACTTGTCATTGGGGCTTCCCTCTCGAGCATTTTTTTCTGAACCCTCAGCTTGCATAGCTGCAACCTTTTTCTGCTCCTTCAATATTTCTTCTTCCATCCCTTGCATTTTGTTGATCCATTCATCAGTATGTCTCCCATTTCACTTATTCATATCTACTCCCCTCAATTTCAAATACCTTCAAGTGATATTCCAAATCACACCTTTCTTCTGGGGCTCATTTTGATTATTCCACCCTCTACCTCCGTGGGGGGGGGGGTGTTTTGTCCTTTACCATGGCCTCTTCCTCTCTCTCAGTATCTTGATCTATAAGCACTCTCATTTGAATATGTTATTGCTTTAACAAAAGGTATTCTGGGTTTCAGTCCTTCTACCTGGTTTCCCCCTTTCATCATTTGTTGGAATGTTATCCAGTGCTCCAGTGCATCCATAACCCCTCATCCTGGGCTGCTTGGTTCACCAGATCAGTAGACATCGCTAATAAATTTATGTCCAATCCTTTAAACACATAATTTCAAAATTCCCTTTGATTTAAGTCAACTGCCATCAAAGAATCAGCTGTGACATGTCTGGCGACCTCCAACCTCGGATTAATCACCAGTTGTATTTTTCCAGCCAATAATCCCAATGTTATTTTTCTTAATAGGTAATCCCTGGGTGAATCTCCAGGCTTCATGCAATCTGCACTGGATAAAACCTTATTGGTTTGACCTCTCTCTTTCCCTAACAGCATAATAAATTGTGGTATCAGTTGGTGTGCTTCTGGCTGCCTGTCGAAAGCATTTTTCACTCGATCTACTGCCTGTCTAATCTCTTCAGTGGTAGCTCCCCTGATTAACCTATAAGATTCATTTACATTTAAATTCTTTGTTCCTTCTAATTCTGCCCACTGTACTAGCCATGTAGTTTTTCATATTCACTGGGCCTAATGACTTTACCATCGACAGTAAATCTGACGAACTCGCAGGGATTATTTGGGTCTGCTCTGACTGTATCTCCCCCGCTGCATCCTTAATGGTTTATCTCCATTCTGTCACTGCTACAGACTTTTCTGGATTAGCCTTTCTGGTCATGTCAAGGTTCCTCCCCCACTCTGAACTCTAGGGTACAGATGTGGGGACCTGCATGAAAACCTCCTAAGCTTACTTTTACCAGCTTACGTTAAAACTTCCCCAAGGTACAAATTAATTTTATCCTTTGTCCTTGGAATAACCACTGCCACCACCAAACTCTAACTGGGTTTACTGGGAAACGTAGTTTGGACACGTCTTTCCCCCCAAAATCCTCCCAACCCTTGCACCCCACTTCCTGGGAAAGATTTGGTAAAAATCCTCACCAATTTGCATAGGTGACCACAGACCCAAACCCATGGATCTGAGAACAATGAAAAAGCATTCAGTTTTCTTACAAGAAGACTTTTAATAGAAATAAAAGTAAATAGGAGTAAAGGAATCACCCCTGTAAAATCAGGATGGTAGGTACCTTACAGGGTAATTAGATTCAAAACATAGAGAATCCCTCTAGGCAAAACCTTAAGTTACAAAAAAGACACACAGACAGAAATAGTCATTCTATTCAGCACAATTCTTTTTTCAGCCATTTAAAGAAATCATAATCTAACACATACCTAGCTAGATTACTTACTAAAAGTTCTAAGACTCCATTCCTGTTCTATCCCCGGCAAAACAGCATACCAACAGACACAGACCCTTTGTTTCTTTCCCTCCTCCCAGCTTTTGAAAGTATCTTGTCTCCTCATTGGTCATTTTGGTCAGGTGCCAGCGAGGTTACCTTTAGCTTCTTAACCCTTTACAGGTGAGAGGAGCTTTCCTCTGGCCAGGAGGGATTTTAAAGGGGTTTACCCTTCCCTTTATATTTATGACGGGTCAGTTTCTTATTTCTTCCCTCAACTTAGTATAAAGCTCCTCTTGATGTTGGTCAGATTCCCTTTTCTCTTGACCCCCTCACAGATCCTCTTCATACCAAATATCATTGGAATCCAAATCTCTTTCTTTTTGACACACAGCTGCAACTTGCAGCTCCTGTATTTTCATTTGCTTTTTCAATGCTGCTATAGTTTTCTGGCACCAACTGTGAGAAACGCTTGCAATCTCTCTTCCCTTTCCTTAGTCAAATCTCAAATTAACTGTTTTATTTCTATTACTTGATGGTCTAATTTATCTTTGTCTGTTTTAATCTTTTTCCAATTCATCATTCTTTTCTTCAGGTCCCTATTTTGTTTCCCCATTTGTTCTGAGTTTGCATGATCTATGCCTGCCTCACTTTCCACTCCAAATTTTCCTGGCAAGTTTTAAAATTCTCTTGTAATGTTTGTAACTCTGCACAGACTTCCCACTTACATGCAATTGCCATTTTTACAGCTTGCCACAACAGCCATACTATAGCCGTTTGCTTTTTACTGGCATTAGGTTTGTACAGCTGTACATATTTTTTAATCATGTTTTCTAAGGTATCCAGAATTACATCCTGTTCCACTGCACCCTCCATCCAAGGGCATGTTCCAAATGCAATAATCTCCTTCTCTAACAGAGAAGGGGCTTTAACTTCAGTTCACTGGTGTGCCTCTTTCACATCGTTACTTCTCTTCTTAAATAGTGTTTTCAACATTATTACAATAACACCACGCAGTATCTCCCCACGCGTTGTTTCTTTCTTCACAAATTTCTCACAAATAAGGAGTCACCCTTATTAGTCTTAAATAAGGACTCCCCCAACACTGTAAGACCCCATCTCGAAATTTGTCACTCCTTAATATCTCTCCCCCCCTCCGCATTCTCCACCATTCGTTAGACCCGCAGTAGAGCTCTCCCTATGGGATGGGGAGCAGGCAGATACCGGACACAGTGTTGGTATATAATACTCTAAATGCTCTTTATTGATTACAAAACAAACCTTACTCACTCCACATTCACACCCCAAACATACTATACCAGAGTCCAAAGGTCAGAATGGTCCCGACAGCCAGTCGAGATTCCTTCCGATCATAAGATGCGGGGAGCCGGAAAAAAACACATCTATAACCACACGGGCTCTGGATCAATAAACGACTCTGATTTGCAGAAACCATAGGCAACCATTTATAGTCCATTTCGTCACATCATTGGTTCTTTGCATTTATTTACTAGGCCTTCTACTCACACAATTCCAAAGAGACAGTTCTGGGCAGGCCACCATGATCCAAGGCATGCCATTTCCTCCAATTCTTATACAATTTTTATCAGTCCAGCTGGTGATGTTTTCTGCTGATACTCCATATTTTTCTCGGAACATAACATATTACATGGATATATCAATATATATTGTGATTCATATATATAAACAAATATATAATTCTCCTTTGAGTAAGTGTAAATCCCTCTGTAGGTAAACTCATGACTCACGTGCATGAACCCAGAGTCTTTGCAGTAGCAGTGTCTGTCGAGACTGCACACATACCCTCTCCCTCCTTCCTCCCTCAGCTCCCTCTTAACCAAGCAGCAAGATGGAATCCAGCAGTGTTCAATCCGTTACTTCTCAGTGTTCACTAATTCTTCTACTTGTTCATCTGATAACCAGATAATCTTCTAACCTTCTGGTAGGAAATCTTCCTCTCTACCTAAATTGTCAGTTTAAAAATCAAAAAGGAAGAAGAACCCCTTGTATAGATTGCCCTGTAAAGTTGTACTAAGTGTCATGGCAGACTTTCAACTTTTGGGCTTCAAGCCCTGCCCCTCCTGCAGTGGCTTGAGACCACTAACTGATGGTTATAGCAGGTGCTTATTCTGCTTGGGTGAAAGCCACACTCTGGAGCAGTGGACAGTATGCTACTCCTTTTCCACCAGGATGCACAAGTCACAGGATGCTTGATTTAAGCTTCACTTTCTGGAATAATCAATTGAGGTCACTTCGGACCCTGAAGAAGTGAGTACCATCTCCAATCAGGTATCAAAGAAGTGAACATCCATGAATGCCCCCTCTAGCCGGCATGCAACGCCAAAAGCCAGCAATGATAAACCTGTAACATCAATAAAAGAACTGGTATAGAGAACCCTGGCACCAATGTATGAGGCACTACCATTTTCAGCATGGAAGCCTGACAGGTAGAAAGGCTGTTCAAGGCACAGAAGCTGAGGTTCCAGGCACAGAAGCTGAGACTCCAAGCACAGCTCAGTGTCATCCTGCAAGGAAGTACGAAAGCATACCTCCAAGGATAAGACTGCTAAACCCCAGACAGAAGCAATGGCTAATGTTGCAGAGCAGGCTATTATGGTACCAATAGAGCATAGCCTGCACCTGTCCCACCAGCATCAACGACCACACAGACGCCGATGATGACCTTTCAGTAGAATCACTCACGGCATCGGAGGACATCCTCTCAGAGGAGTCCACAGAGATTCCAAGGATGACTCCACACTGAGACCACCGCCAGCATTGGAACAGGCACAGGTACCAAGACCGCTGTTCACCTCAGCACTTCCCCTAGAGGAGGTGTACTCATCCTTCACTTCACAGGGCCACATCTTTTCACTATCCTCAAGTAGAGAACTCTCCCCTTTGAGGTCAGTACATGGCCCGATGGAGAGACCTGGAGGATCATTGTTCAGGACTCCATCACAGTCTTATCATGACTGGCAATGGACTAGCTCACACTATGTGAGCCAGCCATACCCTATTGGGCATACTGGGTCCATGCTCTCTAACCTCCAGGAAATGGAGGCTTCAGCAACATCTCTACTTGGACCACCAGCACTGGATGGAGAGGAATGCCAGCTGCCCTTATGAAGAATCTCTTCCACTTGGAGGAATAAGTCTTTCTCAAATCCTGCATCTTGGCAAGGGGTTCGACTAGATGACCCTTGCAGTCCCTTCTAACTGTATGGTTCTGTGATTTTGTATTTGACTCCTGCATGCTGCAAGTGCCTCCCCACCATCTGGCAAGTATTCTTCACTCCTGTTGGGTTTTATCCTGGTTTTCCTTCTCTCTGATTCCCGAGGAACTAACATATCCTCACAGTATTAACTTGAATTCTGAATAATAAAGTTAATCTTTGCTTCAAAACGTTTGGGACATTCTTACTGCATTGTAACTGTCACACCTCGAGGTAACTTACATCTTGCTTATTTTCATCTGTGATTTGTCCATTTATATTAGACATATGATGATTGGGAAAACTTGACAGGGTGATCTCTTCCTCTTACATACAGTCTTGGAATTAATGTTGGTGTATCTTATAAAGCATGACTGCTAAATTTGTGCACTCAGAATAGTTTACAGGGTAAATCCAGAGAAATGTCTCTGAGTTTTATAGAGTTATTTCAGCTTTACACTGGTATAATTCAGAGCAGAATTTGATCCATCAGTGGCATCTCTTTTTTTTTTTTCATTTAAGTAACCCTAATAGCATGAAGTGTCTACAACTATTTTTATTTTCTTCTTTTCAGGAAGAACACAGTTTAAAGTGGGAATTAAAGCACTTTCCCCCAAAGAAGTCATTGGGATCCACATCCCTAACCTTATGGATAGGAATGATGGGTCATTTCTTATACAGTATCGGATGTATGGGAGTGTCAACGAAGGGTTAAAGATTGAGGTGCTTTATGGTAATGAACACGTAGCTCAGTCTCCTTATATTTTGAAAGGTAAGTTTTCAGCTTACCATTTTATGGTGACAGCTACAGAAATGTTATGGACTAAACTTTGGCTAGTCAGGAGAAGGTAACAAACTGGAGGGTACCGATGCTTTTTCTGGTTTAAGCAGCCCCTTACACATCCTTCCTCTTACACAGATTAAAGGAGCAGAAATAATCTACATACAGATCGTTGCCAATTTATGGGACGTAAATATTTAAGCATGTAGACCATGGTCCCTGAACTTCAGGTCCTGCCTCAGAACATGCCGCCCTAGCTCTTGAGGCCGGGTGACCTTCAGGTTTTGTGGAGTGCCACAGCAGAGACAGAACTTCTTCATTTGTGGCCTAACTGTGAGTTTTCTGGCATGTGTCCACATAAGCACAGCATCTGCCAGAGTGTGATGCTATATTTGTCTAAAGGAAACCTCACCTAGTAAAGCAAGTAAATCCATGTTGTTCCCAGCAATTCATAATTTGTTCAGTCCATCTTACCTTTGTGATTTCTAAAGCACGGTCCTTTCTAGACATTGAAATCTTATAACCAGCCCCACATTATCTCCTCTTTTCTTCCTACAGGCCCACCTTAGATCAATGCTGGTCCCTACACTATAAATTCCACTTAAAAGGGGAATATAATGCAAACTGTTTTCAGATTTCTGGTCTGCTTCTTTGGTCTTCTTCTCTCTTCTCATAGTTGATTGGTTGCCTACCAAGGGGAAAGGATGAACACTGAAAATAAAATTACTTCTTCAGCATCATTTCGCACTCCTTCCTTCTCCTGATCAAAGTTTTATTTTTGTATAGCATCCTATGTACACTATTATAAAACACTTCAAAACTGAAGCAAAAATGGTTTTAAAATGAGAGTTAAAGAAAGGCAGTAAATTGGAGTATGAGTTCTAGATAGTTTGGAACCACAAAAATGAAAGCAAATTTCTGTTACCCGAAATTGGGCCAGCTAGTAAACTTAGGGAGGACTAATGACTCACCAGAGTTTGGCAGAAAGCAGCATGTTTATTATATTGATAGCTAAACTCAAAAGAAGGGGGAAGTGGGGGTCACACTCGCATACTCACGCTCCCAGCACAGGCACGGAACTGGAGATGTCAGGATCCTTCAAGGTAAGTGTTTGAAGGTAAGGCACGATGGAATGCAACGCGACAAACCACTGGCCAGATGGTCCGGGCAAAGGGCCTTCACGGGAGGTACAAGCTTGTGAGTGCACTCCTGAGCACATGGCCCCTTCCCCTTTTAAGGACCTGCTCTCCATGGCCTGCGACTAGAGATGACTTGGGCACGTCTGCTTGGTTACACTCCACCTCGGCCAGTGTCCATGCACTGGGTGTGTGAGTGCTGCCTTATTAGAGTCCCAGACATCTTGTCTACCTGGGAGCTCTTCTGATCTTCCAGCTGTTCCAGCAGCCCATTCATCCCACAGGCATTCAAGGAGGGAGGGGGAGGGGGAAAGCCACTTCACAGACGGAGAGGAGACAAAAGGGGGGGAAGTGTAACAGACCTTTTGAACATAGCATAGTCATACAGCGCATACAGATCACTGCTGCTCCTACAACAATTTCCTCCCTGTTTCCACTACTGCTCACATGGAGAGGACAGAACCGTAGCCAGAGTCAGTGCAGATGGGGTAATAGATTGATACAACAGTAGAAAATGTTGGTGCAAGACAATGAAAAGTTTTGAAAAATTGGAGGACTGTGGATGTCAAGTGAAGTTGACAGTAGATAGGGGGGATGTGGTCCAACTGCAGCAAGACAGTACCCTGGGTATTGGGCTGGAGCATACTTACATAGTCACTCGTGTGACAGAAAGAAAAGTGTGACCAAAGTACTTGTTTTTGGCGAGAAGTTTACGGAATAAAGTTTACTTAAATGCTTAGGCCTTATTACAGTGTATAAATCCACACTGATCCAAAAGGACAGGCTACATGAAATAAAGCACCTCATACTAAATGTAAAGACTTTGGCACCATAAAGTCCTAAATAAAGCTTAAAATATTGATAAATGAAGCTGTACAGCTAAATAATAGTATTGATGGATGTTTTAAATAACTATAGGCATTCTGGCTCACTGGCAGGTAGCATGACACTGGTACACGACTTTGTTTTTTCAGTAGAGATGATTGAAAAATGGTAGATATTTTCCATGACAAATTAAAAAAATCTTTTTTAAAAAATTTTCAGTTTGTTTGGATTTTGGCCAAAATAAAATTGTTTCAATGATTAGTTGTTTGGGGTTTCTAAAAAATAAAAAAAATGGCTTTTTTCTTTTTCATCAAAAACCCTGACACTTTAGAAAGAGGAAATTTTCCAAGAAAATATTTGTTGGTAAAAATGGTCTTTTTATTTTAAAAAGCAAACCAAAAAAATCAAAAGACTTCCACCAGCTCTAGTTTTAGATTTTTGTATCCATCAGGAGTCTTGGGTATTGTGAGCTGAGACTATCACAGAAGTCATACATTCTCATTGCTTTGTGTTCTGCAGGGCCTGTTTATCATGAGTACTGTGAGTGTCCAGAAGAAGATTCTCAGACCTGGCAGAATATTCTCTCTTGTCCATCCCAGGAGCCTCAAGTTACTAAAGACTTTACTTCTTTTCCCTCCATCAACCTTCAGCGGATGCTTCATGAAGTCCCAACAAGGTTTGGGCAAACGAGAGGCGCTATTGTTCATTACACTGTTCTCAATAATCACATCTACCGTCGTTCCTTAGGGAAGTACACAGACTTCAAAATGTTCTCAGATGAAATGTTGCTCTCATTGGCAAGAAAGGTACAGCTATATAAGCCTTCACTTAAAGACTTTTGGATCACACAGATTTGCTACCATTTGGATATTATATTCATACTTTTATTTTCATAGCAAACCTTAAACTACTGCTGCATATTTAATTATTAAACCAAGATTTTATTTTTATTTCTGCATCTGCATGATATCATCTGTTTAGGAAGCCTGATGTTACTGGTGACTAATTATCAGATCCAAAGCCCATTGAAGTCAGTAGGAAAACTGCAGGCACTACGATGCTACAGGCTTTCCTGAATTGGAACTCCAATTGCACAGCTGGCTTGCAGGATTGAGCCTGTAGTCTCAAATAATGCTGATTATTGTTTGGTGGCCTGATTGACTGATTGTGAGAGACAAGATAGGTGAGATAAAATCTTTTATTGGACCAACTTCTTTTGGTGGAAGCGACAAGCTTTTGAGCTTCACAGAGCTGTTCTTCAGGTCTGGGGAAGGTAACTAGAGTGTCAGAGCTAAATACAAGTTAGGGCAGATTGTTAAGCATAGGGGGTTTACATATGTTGTAGGAGGCCACTTAAAGTGAAGTGGGCATTTAAGGGGTTTCAGGCTGTTGGATAAATAATGAGCCCATTACAACAATTTATGACACACTTTACTGTCTGATACCCCTTAATTGCACACTTCATTTTAAGTGGTCTTCTACGGCACTGTCCCTTCCACTGTCAGAAGTTGGTGGAATAAAAGATACTTCCTCTCCTACCTTGTGTGTCTTCATATCCGGAGACCAACCCAGCTACAACACTGAAAACAATTGATTTTTTGACACAAGAAAACTGATGACCGTACTTTACTTTTAAAGCATGAGTAGTTAAAGCATAAATTCATGTGTAATTGTACTGTATTGGATATACTTCTAGGTTCGTCTCCCTGATATAGAGTTTTATCTTAATGTTGGAGACTGGCCAATGGAACATCGAAAAGCAAATGATACGCCTGGCCCTATCCCTATCGTTTCATGGTGTGGCTCTGTGGATTCAAGAGACCTAGTCCTTCCAACATATGATATAACCCATTCAACACTTGAAACCCTACGTGGTGTTACAAATGACCTCCTTTCTATTCAAGGAAACACAGGTAAATTGGAACTCATAGGCTTTACAAATCAATTCATAACTCTGTCAAAGGCGAAGTAGCAGAATATATGTAAAGCGAGATATTGGCCAAACTTTTCAAAGCCAGATAACTTATATAAGTATCTAAATAAGAGTGGCCTGATTTTCAGAAGTGCTGAACACCTACAACATCCACTGACATCAGTGGGAGCTGAAAATGCTCTTATTTAGTTCCTAAATGTGGATTTCAAAGCCTAACATTAGGCACTCAGGCTTGAAAATTTGGCCTTAAATTCAGACTTTAGTTACACCCATGCAACATCACTGACTTTCAAATTAACAGTCTCCCATTTGGGTTCTGGGAACAGTACTTTGTATTAAAAATAATCTTTTCCTCGGTATAGGTATAAAAGTTCACAGGTATAAAAGTTCACAAAGCAGACCATAAAAATCCCTTTGAAGTGATTTGTGCTCTGTCATGTTAGTATGCAAAGTACAATTATTACATTTTGCATTGGATTGTTTTTAGAAAATAAGTGCCCAGTGAAGTGTAGTTACTCTGGTTTCTTGACAGATGTAAATATCATGATTATAACTCCCTTCATCCAGTAAAGTGCTTTAGAATGCTAATTATAACCAAATACTAGTCCAATTCCTGAGAGAGGATTTGGGCTATTGTTGTAATTGTTTAAATTAAACTGTGAAAATGACTGCATAACCTCTTTCAAGACAGCCTCCACTACACTGAAAATTGTCTTTCATTTGGCCTGCAAATGGAAAAATATTGTCTGTGTATAAAGAAAACCGCAAGGGCCAGGCTTTTTTTCCCCAATTTGTTTGTTTGAATGCTAGAAAAATTCTCTTTTTCCTGGGAGCCTCTGTGGCCGCTTAGGGAATTAGTAATATGAAGTGATGAGCACCAAAAAAATGAAACCTGATTAAGGAAGTGATGTTTATTTAGACAGTTTAAAGCTCCCTCTCCTTCACCAAATATTTACTTAATTCAAATACCTGATAAACAGTTTGGACGCAAGGTCTCTGTTAATGACTCAGTATACCTGTTCCTTCAATTAAAGATGGAATAAGCTGCTCCCATTCCACTTCTCTGGGTTCTCCAGGGAGACTACCAGCACAAACAGGAAAGGCAAAATTTTACATTTTGGATATTTCTAAAAGTATAACAACAAGCAAGCAGAGTGAAAATCTTACAGGACTTCTCTGTATATTGTAAAGATACAGAAAAGGATACACCACCTTTTTATTCCTCTGTAGGTCACCGTTAAGTGACCCCTCAAAGATGGCAAAATTGGCTGCTTAACAGAGGTTACTAAAGGTGGAGTGGAATTATGTGTTGGGATATTTGGATGGACTTTTAAGATTAAAGGTCTCTTGCTCAGATTTCACAGTATTCAGTACTCATATAAGTTAAAAACTAACAAAATTATTTTCTTGACAATTTGTTGAAAGACAAATAATTTTCTTAGAGACAAGATAGGTGAGGTGTAATATCTTTTATAGGACCAGCTTCTGTTGGTGGAACGGACAATCGTTCAAGCTTCACAGAGCTCTTTGTTTCTTAAAAGAAAAAAAGACTTAAATGTGAAATTAAGAATTTTTTCCTTGCCAAAACTTCAGGACAGGGCAAATATTTACCAGTTAGGTTTAAATGTTTCTTTAACAAGTTCATAATGGAAATTATGTTGATACCTGTTTTACCATACATGGGAGCATGACCCTGATATCGTAACAAATTCATATTGAATGTATGAGCATGTGTAACTTGAAGATTTCAAGGCTTCTTCCCCCATCCCAACCCCCCATTCAATATATGTAGGCCCTTTCTGGCACAACAAAACAGAGCGAGCTTTCTTTAGAGGTCGAGACAGCCGTGAAGAACGTCTCCAATTGGTGCAGCTATCTAAGGAGAATCCAGAGCTACTAGATGCTGGAATAACAGGATATTTCTTCTTCCGAGACAAGGAGAAAGAGCTGGGAAAGGCTCAGCTGATGGGATTCTTTGACTTCTTTAAGGTTTGCCACATTATACTGAAGACATGGGCTTACTTTGCAGTTAAATGGTTACTAAGTGAAGAGAGGCAGCTTTCCTTTTTAACTTTGCTGATTGCATTTCAGTGTTTGAAAAAGTTTTATGCTGCCCTGGGCACATGTGTCCATACAAAATAGATATTTTACCCATAAATAAAAACAGTGTAAAACATCCTTTAAAAAAGCCATACTGTGCTATCCACTGTGGTCTCTTTGACCTTAGTGGGCTTTGGATCAGGTCCTGTATGCAGATTTCTGACCCACTGTAACTGTGTTTATTTCTTTCTTAACATGCAAACAATAGGCATATTTTATATAGATGTAGGTGCACTGTGTGTTTCAAAAACAGTTCTTGTAGCAGTGTGTCAGAGAAGTATATTGAATGTTGCTGATTTATTTGATCCTGCAGCTCCTTCAATTGCCATGTCAGCAGCACCCAGATCTGAGCAGTGGCAAGGGGGAGGATGTGAAATGTCCTCTTTTACTTTGCTCATGTGCAGACATCTGCAGTCAGAGTTTCCTGGCAGCTGGATTTAGCCCTAATGTTATTTCTTCTTCATATTTACTATTAAATGTGATTCACAAAACAGGCAGGCATGGTTGGCATCAATGTTCTGTTTCTGTCCTCTTCGGTTATATTGTGCCATATTAAACTGCTTGGGTTATATTGTGCCATTCACTGGGGATGGTATGAAGTCACACCACCTCAAGGAGAAGGGTTGTGAGTGAGGAGATGGAGAGGAGAGCATTTGGGGACTGATTCAACTTAGAGTCTCTAATATATTAAAAACATTATCATTTGCAATTCTGTTAAACCTTATTTTTGCCTTACAAATTTTTAATTTTGATTTAGTGGCTTCAGTAGAACGTAATGAATCTGCTGATCCTTGAGGGAAAGTGAACAGCAATCCTGTAAACAAAGTTGCAGCAGAGTTATAAATCTCTGGAAGTAAAGGCGGCATAGCCTCAGCTGGTATAAATTGTCACAGCTGCATTGACTTCAGTAGCTATTATATTTTATGCCATCTGAGGTTCTGCCCCTTGGATTATATCAGAAATGCTAAAAACAGCCCTCTCCAAAGTGAACACCTTATATTACTTAGTGCAGTGTTTCCCAAACTTGGGACGCCGCTTGTGCAGGGAAAGCCCCTGGCTGGCCGGGCCAGTTTGTTTATCTGCCACATCCACAGGTTCGGCCGATCGTGACTCCCACTGGCCGCAGTTTGCTGTTCCAGGCCAATGGGGGCTGCAGGAAGTGGCGACTGGTACGTCCCTCAGCCTGCGCCCCTTCCCGCAGCCCCCATTGGCCTGCAGCGGCGAACCAAACCAGCCCAGCCTACCACAGGCTTTCCCTGAACAAGCGGTGTCCCAAGTTTGGGAAACACTGACTTAGTGCAATTTGTACTATTGCTCTGTTTACTTTTAATTGAAATGAGAGATTTTCATGAGAAACATAGCGTAAAACTAGATGACAGCTTTCCTCACCCACAGCTCTGTCCTTGTCCCAGCCCGCTTCTTAACAGAATGCCCATTATGGTGTCCATGTGAATTGTGCTGTGGTTTTGTGATGTGAGCTGAGGACAACCAGGGGTGAGGTTCTTCATAAGAAACTGTATAATATTTGGAATTCATGCATATAAAACATGGAGCTGATATGGATGACCTGAAAAGCCTTGGTGGGCACCTAGATGAAAGCATTTGATTTTCTTACCCCTACTGTCAGTTGGGTTTTTTTGTTTTTTGTTTTTTTTGGTTTGGGGGGGGGGGGGGTTTACTGGGTTTACACTTCACAAACATTGAGCCATATCCATCTTGCTTTATGTATTGACTTCTGTGGGACTATTAGGGTGAGCAGTATTTGGCATGTTTTTAATTGACCCTGAGGTTAGCCCTGTGGGGTAGGTAAGTGCGAACACTGAGGCATAGAGGCTAAATGATTTGCCCAAAATCTGTGTCAGATCCATGATTAGAATCCAAAGGTTCTTAATTACCAGTCTTGGGCCTAAACCACAAGATGGTGCTGTCAAGGTTCCTTCCCCACTCTGAACTCTAGGGTACAGATGTGGGGACCTGCATGAAAGACCCCCAAGCTTATTCTTACCAGCTTAGGTTAAAAACTTCCTCAAGGTACAAACTTTGCCTTGTCCTTGAACCCTATGCTGCTACCAGGGTTAAACAAAGAACAGGGAAAAAGCTCACTTGGAGATGTCTTCCCCCCAAAATATCCCCCCAAGCCCTACACCCCCTTTCCTGGGGAAGACTTGATACAAATCCTCACCTGTGTACAGGTGAACACAGACCCAAACCCTTGGATCTTAAGGACAATGAAAAAACAATCAGGTTCTTAAAAGACAAATTTTAATTAAAGAAAAGGTAAAAGAATCACCTCTGTAAAATCAGGATGGTAAATTCCTTACAGGGTAATCAGATTCAAAACATAGAGAATCCCTTTAGGCAAAACCTTAAGTTACAAAAAGACACAAAAACAGGAATATACATTCCATTCAGCACAGTGTATTTTACCAGCCATTAAACAAAAGGAAATCTAATGCATTTCTAGCTAGATTACTTACTAACTTTTTACAGGAGTTCTGAGCTGCATTCCTGATCTGTTCCCGGCAAAAGCATCACACAGACAGACAGACCCTTTGTTCCCCACCCTCCAGCTTTGAAAGTATCTTGTCTCCTCATTGGTCATTTTGGTCAGGTGCCAGCGAGGTTACCTTAGCTTCTTAACCCTTTACAGGTGAAAGGGTTTTGCCTCGGGCCAGGAGGGATTTAAAGGTGGTTACCCTTCCCTTTATATTTATGACAGGTGCCTTTCTCTAGATACTTATTATTTCCAGGACGTTTTGAAACTGTGCATGTATATAACACTAAATAGGCTGAAAGATTAGATATTTTGATTCAAAATATTTTTTCTCCTTTTTTGCTTCTTTGTTTTCACTTTACAGTACAAATATCAAGTGAATGTAGATGGGACAGTAGCAGCGTACAGATTCCCATACCTCATGTTGGGTGACAGTCTAGTACTGAAACAAACTTCTCAATACTATGAGCACTTCTACAGTGAATTAAAGCCATGGAAGCATTATGTTCCAATTAAAAGAAGCCTTGATGACTTGCTAGAAAAAATAAAATGGGCTAAGGTAAGTGTTGTTACCAACAAAGTTACAAGGGGTAAATTGACACAAACACACATCCCTAGTGGTCCTCTTCCTTTTGTATTGCTAAATCCGTGTTCTGCATCAACTATGCACTGAGATAAAAGGTGCATATATTGCTATTACTTTCATTTAGTTAAATAAATAATAAGGCCCCAATTCAAGTAAACATCCCCATTCAGGAAAGCACTTAAGCACAGGCTTAACTTTAGGCATGTGCTTAAATGTTTTGCTGTAGAACAACTTTAAACAGATTTTCAGATCTTTAAAGATTGCTTTCAAACCTTGGATTAATTTTTTTTTCAAATGTTGTGATCACAGAGTACAAATTATTAATACAGATATCCTGATCAGATGCACCAAAATAATACCTTCCTGTAACATAGAATGAGAGAGAAAGGATATTTATAAATATGCCAAACATTATTGTGGTGAAGTAGAATAGAGCTTAGGCTTCAAAACTGAAACTAGCAGTGTGAGAAACACAAGCAATGTTTCAGTTCTGAGTACTGTAGTTGTTCAAAAAGGACCAGATGAAGGACACTACAAGCTTTGAAATGGAAGCTCTAAAACGCTTGAATACAAGTGTTTAGTACACTACCCACATCACCAAAACACATTCCACGTGTGTTACCAAGGATGGTTCAGTTGAAAAGCTTCACAAAGAACAAAGCTGGAAACAAAAACACTTAATTACACGCAGTAGGAAAAGACAACAACTACAGCTCTGTATTCTGTGTAATCAAATCTGTGTGAGAGACATCAAACCTGCTTATGAACTGGGCTGTGACTTGAACAATATAGTAGAGCGGTAACTGACTGATTTCTCGAAATATATACAATTGGCCACCAATACTCTTACCAGCAACCCTAAAGATATCAATGTCTTTGTGACCATGCAAGCATATTGATAAATTCTAAAAACCTGGAACTAAATAATGTGTTCTTGCACTGTATCGGTAATTGTACATGGATAGCATTCCAGCTATTACTGCAGATCTGAACAGCCCTCTTAATGAGAGTTATCATGCTAGAAGGAAATTGAGTGATTCACTGATTGCTCTTTTATTCCCCGCTGTTTCTTTCCAATTTCTCAGGTAAATGATGAAGAAGCTAGAAAGATTGCTAAAGAAGGTCAGTTAGTTGCAAGAGAATTACTGCAGCCTCACAGGCTTTACTGCTATTATTACAAAGTGTTCCAGGTTAGTACAGTGTGTCATTTGGTTACGTTTTTGCCTAGCTGCTACTAGTTCTAGCCCTACAGTTTTCTATTCAGTCCACATATCTTGAGACATGGTTCATGGTAGGTTGTAAGGGATCATTCAAGAACTCTGATAGAACGTATCTCATTATTATTGGGATGCAATCTGAGCTACCAGCAGTCCTACTGTGAAAGGGGTCTCATGACTTTCCGCCCTCACCCCATCTGATTTGTATTTAGTGTTTTGTAATGCTTTATTTCTGATTAAGACAGGTGATCTTCCATTGGCCTTTGACCCTTTGGCTAGTGTTCCTCCTTTTGCTCCAACTTCATCCTCCTGAACTAATGTCCCAGCATGGCATTGGTTCTTTGGGTGGCCCTGGTTCTGGTTACTGGGAAAGGAAGCCCTGGCAATATGGCAGCTGTGCTGCCAGGTAGCAGGGCAGACCAAAGACCCAAGTGTGTTGCAGATGGCACTAGTCTCCCACTGATTCTGGGGGATCCATGGAATTTGTGGGCTGTCCCAGGGCCTGTTTCTTGAGCAATTCATACTCAGCAATGTAACAATTGCGGAGAAAACTGAGAACCCCACAGAGATCCTACCTTTTAGCTTCCTTCTATGGATTTGCTCATGGCAATGGAAGGTTGGGCCCATTATTAATTGAATTACAGAGATATTGTGAAAGAAGGAGTAACAGGAGTTGGTCACAGCCTGTGGACGGGGGGAGCAGAAGAAGGAATGTTGTCCACAGTGGGGACTTGGGAAGCATCTAAGATGATAACTGGCCATCCAAGAGGGTATGTGAAAGAGATGCAGGATTGAATAAAAGGGTATAGATCCAACCAGTTTGTGCATGGCACAACTGACATTACTTTCACTTCAAGAAGCAGAATTCTAATGTGACTCAGAAACCCTTTATGGGTATTGAATTGCTTTGCTGTTCTGCTATACAGAATCAGATCTCATATGCATGCACAGGTTAATGACATCACTTTTTGGACTGTTTAGTGTGCCAAAATATGACCGATCATTTGCATGTGTTTATATTAAGCAGTTTCATACTATTGATGACAGTATTAAAGCTGACATTTAATAGGACATAAGACAAAACATTAAAGGAAGTTCCAGAGGCAATTGAGTTTATTAGTAGGTGTTTCAGTGAAAACCTAGTAAACAGATGGTAAATGATGTAGGAAGCAGTGTTTAAAGCAAGGTTTAAGAATGGAAGGGAGAGTTCTGTTACATGAATTACATGCTAGTGTGTCAGCTCTCTTAAATGTCACTTACATATTTCAGAAATATGCCAAGCACCAAGCCAGCAAACCTGAAATAAGAGATGGAATGGAACTTGTACCTCAACCTGATGACAGCATTTCCGTCTGCAATTGCCATAGGAAAAAGGCTTTAAGGGAAGATCTATAACTGTACCAAATGAAGAAAACCACTCCTGTTTCACTAATGATGCAAAACTATACATGGGATTTAAGCTGTGAAAACTAGGACATTCTTGTGCACTGGGGAACATTCTTGGTTAAGTACTCCTATTGTATTTGCACACATTTATTCACTCTACCTATGATATACAATTTAGTGCAAGTTCTTCTATAAACAGTATTAGATTTCTCCATTAAGTCATCTGCTGATTTCTGTTTTCTACTGAAAATAACTTTTTAAAAGCAGAAATTATTCTACCACAGTATTAAGATGAATACGATATATACAGCAGATTTGTAATTGTAGACACAAAGTGGATCATTTTAGCTTTGCAAGTTCCAAATCTAGTATTACCATCTGATGTTTACTTGATGGTCGATGTCAGATAAATCTTGTGATCTCCATTCAGTTCCTATTGAAAAAGTTGTCCAAATCAAGAGTCAGAGTGGAGGTAAAAAACGGTGGTGGTATTCTTTCACGCTCCACGTGTGACCAAAATGAGATACCTTCACCCCTACTGTAGATTGTGTAGATATTCAAAAATATATGATCCTAATATGGTCAGAGCTCTAGCCTGAAACTCAAGAGACCTGGGTTCAATTCCCTGCTCTGCTAGAGAGCCTATGCCAGTATAGCTACTTAGTGTAGACACACACAGTGTACGCCAACAAGAGGAGTTCTGCCAGCATAGTAATACCTCCTCTCCAAACGTTATCAGCTATGCTGCCAGCAGCAGCAGCACGCTTTTGTCAGCATAGCTGTGACAACACGGGGCTTTGCCAGCATCGCCATGTCATTTGTGGGAGTGATATTTTTTCAGCATAATTTTGTAATATAGACCATGAGTTAGCCCTGGCCTATACTTAACATTTAGATTGCCCTAGCTAGGTCACTTGGGTGTAAAAAATTTACACCCGAGTAGCGTAGTTAAACTGACCCGACCCCCTGTGTAGATGTGGTTCCTAGTTACTGCCGCTAGGAGGTGGATACCTACATAGACAGAAAAAAAACCTTTCATCAATGTAGGAAGTCTAGGCAAGTAGGCTCTATCTAAACTTCAATAATTACCATGTTTAAACATACTGGTAGCCAAAATATATTGTTGTATGTTTTTTCTTGTCTATTTGGACAGAAAATAATGCTCTAACCATGTTAGAGAACCACATTGTAGCCTAGTGATATATACAAACATGGTTACAAATAATTTCTTCCTGTCCACACAGGCAAAAATAGCCACATTTTAAAACATGGTTTGGACACTCATGTATCACTACTATAATTAATCATGGCTATTTTTGGAGCGCACACAGGGTCCTAGAAGAGAAAAATAGAAAGTTGCCATTTCCAATCACACTACCAATGGAAAGACAAATGTCTTTTGTTCCATGTCCCCCTTCTCCCTCCACTCCGATACTGGCCTCCCCACCCACACAGTTATCAATGCTAGATTTGAACAGAAAAAATATTTCTATGCTGTCTTCTAGATCAACAGAATGCCATCTCCACTCTTTAAAGACACTAAAGTATTTGGGTTTTGTATAATGTCTGGGTTTTTTAGAGCTCTTTTTAGTTATACAGTATTTTAAAAATTGACGCATCTCAAGTGCCTTTTGAGGGAAGTACATTGTAAATATTTTTAGAACCACTGATAGGGTGAAAAAGCAAGGAAAGGGTTAAGGGCTACTTGTCTGTCACATGACTCACCAGGGGATTTACGGAAGGGGTGTGTCTTCTTTCAGAAAGGCAAGGGGGAAAGCCTCCTCCTGGTGTTTAGGGGAATCACATTGTTTTTATGTAACTCGTGACTTTCTGTGTTTGAACAGTAAATTGGGTGCTGAGGTCTATCATGTATTAGAGGTGAACCCTTTCCCACAAAACAACCTGCCCCTGCTGGCAGGGGTGAGTCAAGCTCCTAAAATGCTAAAGGAATGCTTAGTACAATCCCCATTTAGTCAAAGTATTTGTGGAAGGTGTCCAGACAACTGGGTAATTGGTGTGTGACTGGGAAAATGACTCATGAGCAATGTGGTGTATTACCATAATTTAGATATGAGGGGTTTTTAGCTGTTGAGGGAGGAGACAGCTTAGATAAATGTAGCTATTCTGAATGTGTGAAAAGGTATTTTTAGGGTGGCTCTCGTTTGACTGTAAAAATTTTTTTTTTTCATTTTTCTGATATAGGCACATGGAAATAGGATGGCATGGTATGGTATTGCCACCCTTTCTTCTGCACTGCTGCCTGCAGAGCTTGGCCCTCAGTCAGCAGCCACCACTCTCCAGCCATCCAGCAACCAAGGCAGCGGCACAAAGTGGCATGGTATGGTATTGCCACCCTTTGTTCTGCACTGCTGCTGGTGGGGTGCTACCTTCAAAGCTGGGTGCCCGGCCAACACCTGTCACTCTCTGGCTGTCCAGCTCTGAAGGCAGAGCAGAAGTAAGGGTAGCAATACTGCAACCCACCTAAAATAACCTTGCAACCCCCCTGCAACTTCCTTTTGGGTCAGGACCCCCAATTTGAGAAATGCTGGTCTCCCCCAGGAAACCTGTATAGAATAGGGTAAAAGCACACAAAAGACCAGATTTCACAGGAGGAGACCAGATTTCACGGTCCGTGACACATTTTTCATGGCCGTGAATTTGGTGTAGGGCCCTAAGTATCTGGTTTCACCCACATAGTTATTATTGAGGCATTTAGTGCACTGGATGAAATATACCACATATTTTGATAGGCATGTGTGGGACCCATGGATCAAGAAAGCTGTGTTGGGGGAGGAGGGTGTTGATCATTGTAGCAGTGAAGATGTGTCTGCAGGTTTTACATCTGTTGTTCTGGTAGGGTCTGGTGCTGCTTTGAGTTGATATGTTCTGGTCTGTGGGGAGCTTGCTTCTGATGATGAGCTTGGGGAGTTTGTTGAAGGCCAGAAGTGGGGTCAGGCAAGATTTCTTTAAGGATTGGGACCCCACAGAGTATGGGTCATAATTGTTGGATGATACCCCATATGGGTTCCAGTGTGGGGCAGTAGGTAACAAGTCAGGTTCTAATGTCGGAGGGGGTTTTATTTTGGTATTGAAGCAGGTTCTCACAGGATATTTGGGTGGCCCGTTCCAGTTATACTTAGCAAGGGGGGAGGGATAGCTCAGTGGTTTGAGCATTGGCCTGCTAAACCCAGGGTTGTGAGTTCAATCCTTGAGGGGGCCATTTAGGGATCTGGGGCAAAAATTGGGGATTGGTCCTGCTTTGAGCAGGGGTTGGACTAGATGACCTCCTGAGGTCCCTTCCAACCCTGATATTCTATGATTCTAAATGAAAAAATAATAATAATCAAAGCCGGTCTGATGAAATGTTAATATCAAGCATTCATCCTTTCAAGCATATGCTCCTCAAACGGATATCAGAGACGAGAGATACCATTGAGACTATATATCATCTGGTCAAGCATTTATCAGAACTTACAAAGAAATGATAAAGAAAAGGATCATTACATAAATAACTAAGGGCTTGTCTACACTTAAAATGCTACAGTGGCACAGCTGTGCCATTATAGTACTTCAGTGACACTATCTAAGCTGATGGGAGGCGTTCTCCCATCAGTGTAGGTAATCCACCTCCCCAAGAGGCAGTAAGTAGGCTGATGGAAGAATTTAGTTTGTTGGCCTTGAGCTGTCTACACAGAGACCTAGGTTGGTTTAATTATGCTGCTCAGGCTTTTTCATATCCTTGATCAATGTAGTGAAACCAACCTAATTTTCTTGTATAGACCAGGCCTTAGGTCAGGGGTGGCCAACCTGAGCCTGAGAAGGAGCTAGAATTTACCAATGTACATTGCCAAAGAGCCACAGTAATACATCAGCAGCCCCCCATCAGCTCCTGTCCTCCAGCCTCTAGTGCTTCCTGCGCACCGGCAGCCCCACCAGTCAGCGCCTCCTGCCTGCCTCAATCAGCTATTTCGCATGCACAGGAGGCTCTGTGGGAGAGGAGGGAGGAGTGAGGGCAAGGCAGGCTCGGGGAAGGGGCAGGGGCCTTGGGGGAAGGGACGGAGTGGGGGCAGGACCTGGGGCAGAGCAGTGGGTTGAGCAGTGAGCACCACCCAGCTCATTGGAAAGTTAGTATCTATAGCTCCAGCCCTGGAGTCAGCACCTATGCAAGGAGCCACATATTAACCTCTGAAGAGCCGCATGTGGCTCCAGAGCAGAGATTGGCTACCCCTGCCTTAGGTTATCATCAGCTCACTTACATAGGCAGCATGTACAAAGGTGTTCTGTGTTGAAGTGAAAGGTTTTATTTAGCTGAATGTTTTCTTTAAAAGTCATGAACAAGAAAGAATCTTTTGTCTGTGATTATATCAAATACTGTTGAATGTGTGTGATTTTTAAGACCTGGGCCCTTTTTCAAATAATAATTGGATATGAATGTTTAGCTGTTGATTACTGCACAAGGAAAGAAAGTATTATATGTATAGTAATACTTTAAAGAGAAAAGGCACTAATTGTATGCACTGCTTAAAAAGAAATAGGGAAAAAGTGGTTCTTTGTATGTAAGATGTCATTTATTATTGCAAGAAGAACCAACATCTGTAACAGAACACACAGTCATAGTTAAAATAATCCGTGTGCAGAAAAGTTGCAGATGGAGCTTCAAAAGTGAAGAGGTAATCTTTGTCTCACCTTTATGGGCCTGATTCTCTTTTCACTTACACTAGTTATCTCCCAATGCCTTTGATAAAGTTACCCCTGATTAAAGATATGGGAAAGGAAATTCAAGTCCTGTATGCTTAAAAGTAAAGCGTTCCCCATTTTTTGGTTTAGATTCTGCCTTCAGTTACACTGATTGTACATTGCACTGCCATCACTGGAGTTGCTCAAGAGTAATTCAAGCTAAAATGTCTCTTAGGGCCTGATTTTCAGTGAAAGATCATTGACTTCAATGAGTTACTCCTGATTTACATCAATGGAGAGAAGAATTAGCCCTTTTGTCCTTGTTGCTTTCCTGCTAACCCAGTCCTCACTTTTCTAAGTGCAGTGGAACCAACAATGAACACCTTCCTTTAAAGTGTATTGGTTCTGTGGGTATCCATTCATTTTGAGTTTATATGAAAGTTTCCTGGTCAGTCTCAATGATGATTCTAACACCTATTTTTCCTTGGCTGGAAAAATGTAGTAGGTCAGATTTTGCATTGACCTGCACCCCATGCAACTCCACTGATCGCTCTTCATACATAGACTCCTTCCCTTTGTGGGTATCAGATCTTGGGACATCCACAAGGTTAAGGAGATTATTAGTATTCATTTGTATTATAGTAGTGTCTAGAAACCCCAAATGAGATTTGGGGCCCTATATGCTAGGTGCTGCATAAGCACAGTGTTTGTGTTGTGTAAACCTGAAGGGTTTGCAATCTAAATAGATGACAGACTACGGTTGGGAAGGGAAATGGGCATAGAGAAGTAAAGTAACTTGGCCAAAGTCACACATCAAGTCACTAGCAGAGTCAGAAATAGAACACAGATCTCCTGACAGTCAGGTTTCCACCCTATCCGGTGGCCCACACTGTCTATTCTGCAGGAGGTGACCTGGGGGCAACTCTGTTCCCCAAAAAAGACTAGAAGGAATCCCACCAGTTGAAACTTGTTTCTTGGCTGCTATATTGGTTTCTCCAAATATGGGTGCATTTCACTCGTGTCAAAAGGTTGCATACACTTTTGTCTGCTTAAATATCCTGAGTATTTAGCATAAAAATAATTTTAGACATTCAGATTGACTTGCTAGTGCATAGTCCAATTTTCAGCACTCCCATCAATTTCTTATGAAGTTAACTCTTGAAAAGGTAATGTTGCTGACTAGGGGAATTGAGAAACTTTTTATGCACAATACCTCAAATTTCTAGAATTTCAAATATAATTTGTCACCAGTTCTAGATACTTTTTTACCCAAGCTCAGAACCACAGCACACTTTAATTCAATTAAAAAAAATCTGCTGGCAGTGAAGTATCTCACCTCTTAGTATTTTTTGTAAAAGCTTTTGATACAGTTCAAATGTCAAAGTGTGAAATTGCAAAGTAGCAATATAGTGTAATATAGTAAGTTAAAACTTATCACAAACTTTGTTATATGGTAAAAATTAGCAAAAAGTAGAACTGCTGCCAGCTCCTGTTCAAATAAATAAAGGAGAAGGTGGAATAATTCACTTGGATAGGTGGGATCACTGTAACAAACAAATAAACAAATGTAGAAGATCATTAAGTTTGGAACATAAACAGGCAAAAGAAAAATAATTATATATGTAGTATTGGTGACATTCACTCACTGAGTTGTGAGGATATTTTAATGTAGGCTTTTAAAAGATTGCAAAAACTGTGGGAGCAGTGTACTCTGTTTGTGCAATGCACAGAGAGCATAAATAGAAATCAGATAAAACCCATGCTGAGCTATTTTTGACTAACTGGAGTGGAAGTTGGCAGTCTTCACGCAGCCCACTTTATTAAGTGAGAATTCATGACGAATGCCATCAACTTGGTGACCAAACATCTCTCAGCGATTTCCCAGTCATCAGAGCAGCAACTCAACAAATCCTAAAGTTCCTGCTCTACACCAGCAATACGAAAGAAGAAGAGTTAAACTGAATTTACACAAACAGGCTCTGATCCCACAAGTGCTTAAGCACATGCTTAGCTTTATTTACATGTGAGAATCCTATAGGACTTAATCTAGTAAAGTGCTGAGAATGCTTATTGTGATCCAGCAAAAGCAAGCAAGCATGTGCTTAATTTTAAGTAGGCATTGGGACTACTCGTGTACTTCAAATTTAAGAATGTGCTTAACTTGTAGAGCAGGGATAGAGCGCTCAGTGTAACCCACTGGTCAGTGTGCATGATGCATCCCTCTTAACATATGTGTGATCCACTGAAAATATGTCAGGTACAGCCCCCAGCTAAAACACCTACCTCTGTGACTCAAGTTGTGGAGTCTTGTATTTTTAGCTCCAGAGGTGCTAGATTCAATCCCCAGTGGCAGCCACAATGGCTACTATCAAATCAGCATCTTGGAGGATCAAGACCATAGTTCCTCTGAATGGAAACCAAAGCTGCTATTGTTCTTATGAAAAGAAAGTCAAATATTGTTGCTTTGAGTGAGCTTTGATCTATACTTAAAAGATTGCCATCATAGGTATGTTGGTTAGGAATATATTAAAAAAAAATCACACTCCTAACCAACATTTATGTTCCAGCAAAAGCTCTAGTGCAGATACAGTTATACCGGCAAAAAAGTCCTTTTGCTGGTATAGCTTATTTTGTTTGGGGTATAAACCAACATACCCTTTTTACTGTAGACAAGGCATGAGATATGCTTCACCACCATGGCAAAATTACATCAATATCCCCATTCTATTTTACACTAAAAAGCAACTGCTACACACTGCTCACTACTAGTGATCTGCTACATAAGGCCATTTCACATATGTGAAGCTTAAGTGATCAATTCCAACACTTATTTACATGCATCAACTACTTTAATTCTTATTTCCTTCTACAAACTTTTCCTCTTTGTTCAGTCAAGCCTCCCCTGAGTCTTTGACGCACAGCAGGAGGAGTCCAATCTCACCACCCAGGGGCTGCCTGAAAGTAGGTGAAACTCCAAGATACCTGGCACATATGTAATGGGTAATTATTTTTTGGTTCTGTATAAAAACAGATACTTAATTCAGATAAAGATCAGGTAGATATGACTTCACTGTGCTTTATAAATATTGTGGAATGCTCAAATACAGATAACAGAGACTGAAGATGTAGACTAATCCTGAGCATTTATCTTGGAATGATGTCCAAATTACCTCAGATTGTTTGCAAGAACAGAAGTGCCTTTGTGGCAAAATGCTATTTCAGAGTATGAAAATCCTCCCAGGGATCAAGAAGAGCATATTTATGCTAACAGACATACTATTACTAACACTGTACATGATACTGAAGAGCTCACTAGAATTCATTGAAACTGTAGCAACTACTACTGCTTAAATGCTCTTTTGCAAGGCAATTCATTTCAGTAGTCATATTTTCATTCCAGTCATAGAAACAGTTACTGGCAAAATGAACACCTATCAAGGTCAGCTGTATAGCCCAGTGGATCTGTAATGGGACAGGTACCTTTCAACTATAGGTTGCCAGTTTGAATTGAGTCCAAGTCTGTAGGGACTGGAAGTTCTTACTACAGAATGACAGTTCATTGACCTAAGAGAAATGAGTTGGTGGAAAGCAGCTGATTACCATAGGCAACATCACCAAAGAGGTAGAAGGAGCAATTGAGCACGGTGACTGAACTACATTATCCCTGCGGAGTCAATCTCTTCATTTCAGGATTGTGAGATTTTATGGGGTAGTTAGCTTTGCTGCTGCCCCTACTATATGCACAATACATACCTATGGAAAATTTTAGTCACCACAATAATCACATTAACAAAATTTTAAAAAATATATATGTTCATGCATTTGATACTGTTCTGGACAAGTGAGATCCCTCCATTTTCAAGTGACTTTCTATTGATACTCTACTGTACCTGTTCTAACTTCTTTGTATTCTGTTTTGTTGACATACTTATTTTTTTAAATATAATTTAATTTTTAAGTCTGGTTTATGTTACATGATAGATATGTACATTATATATGCAACATGGACAACACTTCTGTAGTTCATAATCCATAGCAGAGTAGGAGACAAGGTATTAAACATGTATTGTCAAAATAATACAAAAGGGCATCTCACTGGGGTAGGTTTTATTTTACATTATAGTTCAGTTTATAATTACTTACACTGTCTCCGGTCTCAGTTTAGCAAGGAATTTAAACAAATGCTTAATTCAGGCATTTAAGCAATCCCAGTGAAGTCAATGGAACTGGGCACATGCTTAAAGTTAGATATGTGCTTAAGCTCCTTGCTGAATTAGCATCCAAAGCAGAAAAGAGTTTTCCTGCTACATTTGTTTTGAGATACAATTGGTAAAATTTATGGGGTTGTTGCTATATTTTGTAGCTCATGAAACATATCAGACATTTGTTAAATATCTGAGGAAAAATAAGACTTCATATAATACTGTAACAAAAACAAATAGAAAAATAATGTCTGACGTTATAACAGGCCACTACATATTTCTAGATATTACTCAGAAAATACATTAGACTTTTGGAATGACTTCTTTAGTCTTTTTATAATCACATAGTGAAGAGCCCAAGGACTGAGCACTCACATATCCCATTTACTCCAATGGGAGTTGTGGTTGCTCAGCACCTCTAGGACCAGGCCCTTTGTATGTGCAAATCTATGCCCAGTGAACAGATCTTACTCTCTATATCAAAAATTTTCTTCTGATAGGTACAGAAGATCATTCCCAAACCTCTCAAGCAGGTCAGATACATTACTAAATGTGTTTGCTGTATTTTTCATTAATGTAAGTTACACCCTGCTTTGATGACATGTTCCAATGTGTAATAGTTGTCAAACTGGTTCTGTAAAGTAGGTCACCATGTATAGTTGTCCTGAGTGTCTGATGGAATATCTGTTAAAGGAAGCTTACAAGAAGTAGAAATTTGGACAGATGACTAGGGAGGAGTATAAAGATATTGCTAGAGCATGCAGGGGTGTAATCAGGAAGGCCAAGGCACAATTGGAGTTGCAGTTAGCAAGGGACGTGAAGGGTAACAAGAAGGGTTTCTACAGGTATGTTAGCAACAAGAAGAAGGTCACGGAAAGTGTGGGACCCTTACTGAATGGGGGAGGCAACATTGTGACAGATGATGTGGAAAAAGCTGATGTACTCAATGCTTTTTTTTGCCTTAGTCTTCACAGACAAGGTCAGCTCCCAGATGCTGCACTGGGCAACACAGTAGGGGGAGGAGGTGAGCAGCCCTCAGTGGTGAAAGAACAGGTTGGGGATTATTTAGAAAAGCTGGGCATGCACAAGTCCATGGGTCCAGATCTAATGCATCCAAGGATGCTGACGGAGTTGGCTGATGTGATTGCAGCGCCATTATTAAACATTATCTTTGAAAACTTGTGGCAACCAGGGGAGGTCCCAGATGATTGGAAAAAGGCAAATATAATGCCCATATTTAAAAAGGGGAAGAAAGAGAACCCGGGGAACTAAAGACCAGTCAGCCTCACTTCAGTCCCTGGCAAAATCATGGAGCAGGTCCTCAAGGAATCCATTTTGAAGCACTTGGAGGAGAGGAAGGTGATCAGGAACAGTCAGCATGGATTCACCAAGGGCAAGATATGCCTGACCAACCTGATTGCCTTCTATGATGAGATAACTGGCTCCGTGAATATGGGGAAAGCAGTGGATGTGATATATCTTGACTTTAGCAAAGCTTTTGATATGGTCTCCCACAGTATTCTTGCCAGCAAGTTAAAGTATGGATTGGATGAATGGACTATAAGGTGTATAGAAAGCTGGCTAGATTGTCGGGCTCAACGGATAGTGATCAACGGCTCGATGTCTAGTTGGCAGCCAGTATCAAGCGGAGTGCCCCAGGCATCGGTCCTGGGGCCGGTTTTGTTCAACATCTTTATTAATGATCTGGATGATGGGATGAATTGCACCCTCAGCAAGTTCATAGATGGCACTATGATGGGAGGAGAGGTAGATATGCTGGAGGGTAGGGATAGGATCCAGAGTGACCTAGACAAATTGGAGGATCGGGCCAAAAGAAATCTGATGAAGTTCAACAAGGACAAATGCAAAGTCCTGCACTTAGGAAGGAAGAATCCCATGCACCTCTACAGGCTGGGAACCGACTGGCTAAGCAGCAGTTCTGCAGAAAAGGACCTGGGGATTACAGTGGACGAGAAGCTGGATTTGAGCCAACAGTGTGCCCTTGTTGCCCAGAAGGCTAACGACATATTGGGCTGTATTAGCAGGAGCATTGCCAGCAGATCGAGGGGAATGATTATTCCCCTCTATTTGGCGCTGGTGAGGCCACATCTGGAGTACTGTGTCCAGTTTTGGGCCCCCAGAAAGGATGTGAACAAATTGGAAAGAGTCCAATGGAGGGCAATGAAAATGATTAGGGGGCTGGGGCACATGACTTACGAGGAGAGGCTGAGGGAACTGGTCTTATTTAGTCTGCAGAAGAGAAGAGTGAGGGGGGATTTGATAGCAGCCTTCAGCTACCTGAAGGGGGTTCCAAAGAGGATGGAGTTAGTCTGTTCTCAGTGGTGGCAAATGACAGAACAAGAAGCAATGGTCTCAAGTTGCAGTGCGCGAGGTCTAGGCTGGATATTAGGAAACACTATTTCACTAGGAGGGTGATGAAGCACTGGAATGGGTTACCTAGGGAGGTGGTGGAATCTTCATCCTTAGAGGTTTCCATGGCCCGGCTTGATAAAGCCCTGGCTGGGATGATTTAGTTGGTGTTGGTTCTGCTTTGAGCAGGGGATTGGACTAGATGTCCTCCTGAGGTCTCTTCCAACCCTAATATTCTATGATTACATGCCCTGTAACTGGAATCAATTTTGACACAAACCCACAGGATACCTGGTCCTACTAGAGTCAGTGGCAAAACTCCCTTTGACTTCTATGGGAGCAGGATTTGAACCAATGTGTTCATGTTTGAGATAAAAGAAAAAACAGCTCCAGAAGGGCTAGGTGGTCTAATGAATGAGTTCAGCTGGTGAAAAACTAAGTTCAAATACAACCATTGGTTAATGACAAGTGAAAAGTCAGTTTGAAGGCTCTTACTGGGCCAGAACCTAATAAGTACTGAGCATCTCCTGGGTGCACTAAGCAACCTCAGCACCCACTGGCTTTACGAGAGCTGAAGCTGCACAGCATTTTGCAAGATTATCTCTCTAATTCCCCACTCTATTACCTGTCATGAGATGCCCAGGATCAGAATGGCAAAGATGTTACACAAAAGCAGCAATATGCAAAATTGGCATAACTGTATGGAGACACTTGAATTGCTCCTGTCAGTTGTTAGCCGCTTACATTCACAAAATTAATTCATAAATACTTTTAAATGATATATGCCTAATAATAAACCTGCTGAGCCAAATTAACTTGGCCAATCTAGGTTCTGATTTTCAGAGATGCTGAGCAACACCAGCTTCCAGTGAAGTGAATGAAAGCTTCGGGTGCTCTGCACCATTGAAAAACTGTCAGTGCAGATTTAAGCTGTCAGTCTAAAAAGTGCAAGGAAATCTGCTTTTCAAAGAATTCCCAACTCTATAGATGAAGAGAAAAGATAATTAAACCAGTTAAATATGTACACAAAACTTGAGAAATAATTAGACAAAATCAGATATCATTTTAATATATTTTTAAAGCCTATAATTTTTCTACTTTAGGACTTCATGACAAAGTGCATTGTGCTACTTGGTCCCCAGTAAGAAAAGGATAACTTGACCTCTCCCCCTTCCTCTTCCCATACACAAATGCATGCTATTAGTAATAAATGTATTCTGATAGTGTCCAAAGGCCTCAGAGTGGCTGCTTGATAGAGGAGGCTTATGGAGGAAAATTGATTTAAGAAAGGTGGTCTTAGATTTGGACTGAACCACAGGCCAGAGAGATTTAGTTTCCTTTCTCCAGTAACCACTAACACTGGAACAGTCCTTACTGACTGGCTGGCCAGATTTTCAGTTGGGACAAAGAGCCAAGTTACCAACCAGATTCTGGCCATAAGTGGTCACTAGGGCATTCCCCTGGCATAAGGCAACCCACTGCTAGTATTAAGATAGTGGAGCTGGCCTCAGCACCAGCAGTCTGAGGATCAGAAAGCCAAAACCAGCTCCCTCACTTCACTTCAGTCAACAGAGCTCAGACACAAGAGAGAATCTATAGCTTCAATGGAGATAATCATTTGTTCACTGGGGGACTAGGTAGCACTTTGCACCAAAGCATGTACTTATATTATCTTTATATCTATATATTTGTATAATAAGTTACATGTTTTTGTATTATCTTTACATTTCAACTGAATATAAAATTGACCAAAACCTATTTCCTCTAATAAGTGTTACTTTGGCACAGATGGAGATGAGGGCTCATTTCAGAAAGCTGTTTTTACTTGGGAGTTCGTGTACTTTGGCCTGCAATCAAACAGAATTCTTGGCATTGATACTTTACATTCTTAACATATTACTTGCATTCAGCTCTTTGATCATTGTTTCAAAGTTCTTTGGTCTTTCAAACCAAACAGTAGTGTCATCCCAAAATATTGAGTACTTTTAGTTTTTTGTACTTTTGTGCCCTCTTTTTCTTATTCAAAGATTTTGAATGTCTTTCTGACAAGATTCAGTGAGACAGTATCTCTTTGCCTAACCTCCCCACTTATAGAGTCATAGATACTAAGGTCAGAAGGGACCATTATGATCATCTAGTCTGACCTCCTGCACAACGCAGGCCACAGAATTTCACCCACCCACTCCTGCAAAAAACCTCTCACCTATGTCTGAGCTATTGAAGTCCTCAAATCATGGTTTAAAGACTTCAAGGAGCAGAGAATCCTCCAGCAAGTGACCCGTGCCCCATGCTACAGAGGAAGGCGAAAAACCTCCAGGGCCTCTTCCAATCTGCCCTGGAGGAAAATTCCAAATATGGCGATCAGCTAAACCATGAGCATATGGGCAAGATTCACCAGCCAGATACTGCAGAAAATTCTTTCCTGGGTAACTCAGATCCCACCCCATCTAATATCCCATCACAGGCCATTGTTCATTTCCCTCTCATTAGCGTATTGTCACTATATTATATGCTTCAGGATTTCTTTTTAAAGTGTTTTATTTGTTTGGTTCTTCTTAACAAACGAACCATTCAGGATGATACATGGCATGATATGAGGAAAGATTAATGTTGCTAATATTCTGCAGAAAAGGACGCGGGGATTACAGTGGACAAGAAGCTGGATATGAGTCAACAGTGTGCCCTTGTTGCCCAGAAGGCTAATGGCATATTGGGCTGAATTAGTAGGAACATTGCCAGCAGATCAAGAGAAGTGATTATTCCCCTCTATTCGGCACTGGTGAGACCACATCTGGAGTACTGTGTCCAGTTTTGGGCCCCCCACTACAGAAAGGATGTGGACACATTGGAGAGAGTCCAGCGGAGGGCAATGAAAATGATTAGGGGGCTGGGGCACATGACTTATGAGGAGAGGCTGAGGGAACTGGGCTTATTTAGTCTTCAGAAGAGAAGGGGGGGTGTGGATTTGATAGCAGCCTTCAACTACCTGAAGGGGGGTTCCAAAGAAGATGGAGTTAGGCTGTTTTCAGTGGTGGCAGATGACAGAACAAGAAGCAATGGTCTCAAGTTGTAGTGGGGGAGGTCTAGGTTGGCTATTAGGAAAAACAATTTCACTAGGAGGTTGGTGAAGCACTGGAATGGTTTACCTAGGGAGGTGGTGGAATCTCCATCCTTAGAGGTTTTTAAGGCCCAGCTTGACAAAGCCCTGACTGGGATAATTTACCTTGGGTTGGTCCTGCTTTGAGCAGGGGGTTGGACTAGATGACCTCCTGAGGTCTCCCAACCCTAATCTTCTATAAACAATAAATGAAGTCTCTTCATCCTGCTCCCATTAAAGTCCGCATTTAACCTTCATTGACTTCAATGGGAGCAGGACTGGAACTTAAGTGGGTATAGAATGATCATCTACCAGAATTTTAAGGTATCACCAACAAAAGGAAAAGAATTGTTGAGGGTGACCATATAGAGTAAAACAAAGAGTTACAATAATGATGAAACAGAGCATAGGAAAAATTAAGATGAGTGTTTAGAAAAAATGTCCTAATAGGGAGATTTACTTGCAAAATAGTCTCTTTAAGCAAGCAGTTTAAGAAATTGAGACCTCAGTTGCCCATCACTATAATATGTATTATATGAAAAACATAGATACATATATATTTCAAGACAGATTGGACAAAAGATTCGAGGTGTAACGCTGGCCCCACTGAAGTCAATGACTATGACAAAACTCACATTGATTTCAGTGAGGGCAGGATTTTCCCTTAGAGCTATACTGGAGGGGATGAGAGGGTGCCATCCTTTCTGGCAGCAAGGAAAGGACAAGCTGACCCAATAATTTTTCCCATCTTTAGTTTCTATGATTCAGTCATAATTAACACCCAATAGCACCTCCACAAGTAAAACCAGGTTATACAATAATACAGTAAAGGAAGATATACACTAAGCTGACATTAACATAAATAGGAGTAGGATCAGGCTCAAAAAGATGTAATTTTTGTAATAAAATACTGGTGGAAATTAATTTCCACTTCAGTCCATCTTCCAGTAGTGTAAGGAAAAAGGGAGGGAGAAAATATAAATATAGTTTTTCTACTTGACATCCTTCCACGGTGCACAGTACTGCATCTATTTCCACTTAATCTGTCTTTTATAATCTACAAAAGCTATACACATGCAATTGTTGTATTTTTCAGGTTTCTTCAGAATGGATTCACTGCCTACATATGAGAAATTACTTCTTTTGAAGAGATGTCTTTGGATCCCTTTTGCTTTCTGCTTCCCAAGAACCCTTCATTGGCTGGACTTGCCCATCCAGCTGAAGAGGACTCATTTAGTTCCTGTAGGAACTCAACAAACCACCTCTGAGTTAGCTGGAGGGTATTACTACAGAGCAGAGCCCAGTGTGCTAGAAAAGCCAGCAAATATTGTACCTGTAGCCTTTGAAAGTCACCCACTCAAAACAGTTACTAAGCCCTTTTGTGTCCTAAGCATGTTCTGCTTGCTTGTAGTAGTGTCAGCTCTGAACGTGAGTCATGACCTCTCACATGCTCCCAGACCAGCAGGACACGTATTGAGCTAAGACCTAAACTTAACAACACACTTTGTGATTTGTCAGATTTTTAACTGTTAGCAATATTGCCAACACTTGGTTAACAGAAGTTCAGAGGTCTTTCATCTTAAAGTTGTAACATGAAACCTTTACTCTTATCAAGATTGTACATCCTATACTGGAACATTTTGTTGCCATGGGTTCCAGTGAAACTACATAGGCAGACTGGAACATGTCATCCCTGTCAGCCACACCTCCAAATTCAAGATGTGTCCTCATATTTGATCTCTGCCTGATTAAAGTAATCCTCTGCTAGGGTAGAATGTCAGCTATTTTTCCACTGAAACAGGTGCATGAAATGTTATAGCTCAGAGATCCATATCACCTACACAAGTTAGGCCAACTATGAGCTCTTGTAATTGCTTGTTTTCTTAGTCCACATTTGTGATCCAGGACAGGAGGCATACCCTATCTGTAAATGGAAATAGTAAAGGCACAACCGGCCATGTTCTGAGTCGTAATTCTAAAACATGATGGTGCTGCACTACCAAATTGTCGAAAACCTGAGGGAAGACCTAATTTGAATAAAATGAAAACCTCAGACTCGTTCTGGTACTTGCTGCAGTATGTCTTCTGAACTCTTTTGGCTATCTGTACTAGATTGTAAGAACTTTGAAGCAGGGATCCCCGGATGCCAATCCATGAAGGCAGTGGAGTTTCAAAATAAGGTGAACATAAGGGCGGCTTAACCGGTGGGCACTGTGGTCAGGGAAGCGCTGTGGTCAAGAAGCAAGGAGTGGGATGGGCCTGGGATGAAAGGGAGCTCGGGGAATGAGTGGGGGAGGCAGTGGGGCCCAGAGGTGATGGGGGGATTCCTCTGCCACTTTGGCCTTAGCCCCTCTACTTTTACAAAGGTTCCGGTGCCCTTGGGCTCCCCACAGTGACTTGTCTGCCTGGGCAGGTGCTGCGGCTCTTACCACAGCCTGGTTCCAGCTTCTGGCCTAGCCAAGGGGTGGGGCCTTGGGGGAGAGGAGGAGCAGAGGGCGGGGCCCCATAGTGATGGAGTTGTGGGGGGCTCAAAAGTTCTTTTTACCCAGAGCCCCCATTAACCTTAATGCACCTCTGGGCATTATACATCCAGAATGTACACTTGTTCTGAGGTCCTGAAGCAGGTGAGAGGCAAACCAGTTGAAAGTCCCTGGGTGAAGATAAAAAGGGAAAAAAACTGGGGCAATGTCATGGTAGGGGTTTACTATGGACCTCCAAATCAAGAGGAGGAGGCGAATGAGGCATTTCTAGAACAAATAACAGAAATATCCAAAACACAAAGCATGGGAGTATTGGGGGACTTCCACTACCCAGACATCTATTGGAAAAGTAATACAGCAAAACACAAAATTTCCAGAAGGTTCTTAGAATGTGTTGGGGACTTCTTGTTTCAGAAGGTGGGTGAAGTAAACAGGGGGACAGCCATTTTAGACTTGATTCTGAATAGCAGTGAGGAAGTGATTGTGAATTTGAAGGAGCAAGGCAACTTGGATGAAAGTGATCATAAAATGATAGGCTTCATGGTTCTAAGGAAAGGAAGGAGTGAGAGAAGCAGAATAAGGCCAATGGATTTCAAAAAAGTAGTCTTTAACAAACTCAGAGAACTGGTAGATAGGTAGGCTCCCACCAAAAGAGAATCCAAGGAACAAAAGAATTCAGGAGAGCTGGCAGTTTCTCAAAGAAAATATTAACAGCACAGGAGCAAACTATCCCAATGAGAAGAAAAGGAAGGAAGATTAGTAAAAGGCCAATACAGCTGCATCAGGAGCTCTTTAATGACCTGAAAATCAAAAAGAAATCCTATAAAAAGTGGAAACATGGACAACATGCTGAGGATGAGTACAAAAATATAGCACAAGATGTAGGGAGAAAATCAGAAAGGCTAAGGCTCCTAGCAAGGGACATAAAAGACAATAAGAAGAGGTTCTATAAGTAAATTAGGAGCAAGAGAAGACAAAGAAAAATGTAGGTCCACTACTTAGCTGGGAAGAAAAGATAATAATGGATGACATCAAGAAAGCTGAGGTGTTTAATGCCTATTTTGCTTCAATCTTCACAAGGTAAATTCTGACCAGATACTCAACACAATATTAACAACAATGGGGAAGGTTAAAGAATATTTAGCTAAATTAGATGTATTCAAGTCAGCAGCACCTGAGGAAATTCACCCTAAGGGTACATAAGAAACTAACTGAAGCAATCTTGGAATCATAGAATCATAGAATATCAGGGTTGGAAGGGACCCCAGAAGGTCATCTAGTCCAACCCCCTGCTCGAAGCAGGACCAATTCCCAGTTAAATCATCCCAGCCAGGGCTTTGTCAAGCCTGACCTTAAAAACCTCTAAGGAAGGAGATTCTACCACCTCCCTAGGTAACGCATTCCAGTGTTTCACCACCCTCTTAGTGAAAAAGTTTTTCCTAATATCCAATCTAAACCTCCCCCACTGCAACTTGAGACCATTACTCCTCGTTCTGTCATCTGCTACCATTGAGAACAGTCTAGAGCCATCCTCTTTGGAACCCCCTTTCAGGTAGTTGAAAGCAGCTATCAAATCCCCCCTCATTCTTCTCTTCTGCAGGCTAAACAATCCCAGCTCCCTCAGCCTCTCCTCATAACTCATGTGTTCCAGACCCCTAATCATTTTTGTTGCCCTTCGCTGGACTCTCTCCAATTTATCCACATCCTTCTTGAAGTGTGGGGCCCAAAACTGGACACAGTACTCCAGATGAGGCCTCACCAATGTCGAATAGAGGGGAACGATCACGTCCCTCGATCTGCTCGCTATGCCCCTACTTATACATCCCAAAATGCCATTGGCCTTCTTGGCAACAAGGGCACACTGCTGACTCATATCCAGCTTCTCGTCCACTGTCACCCCTAGGTCCTTTTCCGCAGAACTGCTGCCTAGCCATTCGGTCCCTAGTCTGTAGCTGTGCATTGGGTTCTTCCGTCCTAAGTGCAGGACCCTGCACTTATCCTTATTGAACCTCATCAGATTTCTTTTGGCCCAATCCTCCAATTTGTCTAGGTCCTTCTGTATCCTATCCCTCCCCTCCAGCGTATCTACCACTCCTCCCAGTTTAGTATCATCCGCAAATTAGCATGATTATCTTAAAGAACTAATGGAAGACAGAGAAGACTCCAGAGAACTGGAGAAGGGCAAACATAGTATCTGTCTTCAAAAAGAGGAACAAGAGGACCCAGGGAATTATAGACAAGTCAGCCTAAGTTTTATGCCTGGAAAACTACTGGAACATGTTCTTAAACAATCGATTTGCAAGCACCTAGGGGATAACAGAGTGATAAATAATAACCTACACAGACTGGTTAAGAACAAATCATGCCAAACCAATGTAATTTCTTTCTTTAACAGGGTTAATGGCCTAGTGGATGTGGGGAAGCAGTACATCCAGTATAACTTAATTTTAGTAAAGATTTTGATGCAGTCCCACATGACTTTCTCATAAGCAAACTAGGGAAATGTGTGTGACATTGCATTTCATATTCCTTATGAAAATATGCTTATGATATGAATGACATAACTGAGATATACTTTATGCAAAATGGCGCATGTGAGATATCATTGGAAAGGTTATGATTTACTGAATGTGATTATCCAATTTGTATGCCTATATCATTTCTGTATCTGAAATTAGGAATATTGACTATGTATCTGTATTTCAACTATGCTACTTTGGGTGATGCCCACTGCTAACACTTCAGGTACAACAATGGAAAAGCCAGACAGGGCGGATGGCCCATTAGTGAGGACAATGGACTGTGAAAAGCCTGGCCTTCCAGTGGATGCTCCATACTGCCACTTACTCATGGAAGCTGTCGTCCGGTGGTCTTGTCAGCTGATACTAAAACATTACCTGGGACTTCTAGTAACTTTCCACTATGAGGGAAGGGGGGTAGGGTCAAGTTTGGGAAACAAAGGATTCCCGCCTTATGTAAATCCTATTTCAGGGTGGGGAGGAAGGCAAACAGGACTCCTCCTCTCTATGGCTGTCTGCCCAAGAAAGACTGCAAAAGGGAAGGCAAGGGAGGACTCCAGACTGAGAGAGGGGTCCAGTCTGAAAAGGAATATAACTGGAACTCTGAACCACAGAAACTTTGCAAACTGCCTGCAACAATATCTAGGGTGAGAAGTACTATCTGTAACCAATTTCTTTAGTGAAACTAGCTTAGTTTGCGTGTTTAATTTCATTTGCTTAGTAATCTGCTTGGTTCTGTTTGTTACCCCCTTTACCACTTAAAATCTGCCTTTTATAGTTAAAAATTTGTTTTGTTTATTATTAAACCCAGTTTCTGTCATTTCTCACTGTGGGGGTAAGAAGTGTGCACACCTCTCTCCACATTGAGGGAGGAGGTGAATTTCATAATATATCTTTGGGTTTGCACTCCAAGGGAGGTGAACATCTGAGTGCTGGAGCAAGTCCCTTAAACTGAGTCTTCTCAGAGCTGATCTACAGCTGGGTGTGGCCCTGCCTGTGTGTGTGTTAGAGGAGGTTTTAAGAGCCTGGCTCAGCAAGAGAGGTTAAAGAGGGCCCATACTGGCAGAACAGATAGACTCAGTGGTATCTCAGCACATCAGGTGGCTTCCCAAGGAGTCCAACCCATCACAATGTAGTCTAGATGAAATTACTATAATATGGGTGTGATCCTAAGAGCACCCCAGTGCCAGAGGGAAAGGGGCTCCCTGGTATCAGCTGATGAGTTTCAGCTGACCTAACCAATTCAGCATACCCCAACTCCCTATGAATATATCTGGATCTAAAAGGTGTCATGTAGTATGTAATTGTAAAACTAATAACTCCTTGATCATTAATATTCTTTTGTGATGTATGTATGCAGTGTGTATTAAGTTATGGATACATGCTGAAATTACAACTAAAATGTATTTAAACCAGGCATACCATGAGGAGAACAGGTCTGCCCTCGACAAAGGAATGTGTTTGTGTCTCTGCCCAGCCCGGTCGTTAAGCAGAGACAATGAAGGTCAAGCTAACAAATAGGGGAGGAACAGCTTCCAGTAGGGAAGAGAAACTTTATCTGGTATATAAAGACTGGGGGTCTGAACCTCACGTGATAAGCAACTGAATCTACTGACTACATATAATCTTACTGTATTATAAAAGTTTATCAAGTGAGGTGTTTTATGAAAGCCTATGACACAGTGATGATTAATTTCATTGTAAAATATATGTATTAACACTGTATAAGGAATTATGGATACTCATTGATATTAGATTTTACAGTCTGTGTCCATACAAAGGGAGAAACTGGTCTCTCCCAGAGAGGAGAGAATATCACAGCTATTTACTTGTCTCCCATTTAAATTAAGCATGGGGTAATCAAAACAATGGAAGCCCCACTTACATACAGCATACAGGGAAACAGGAAGTCCACAGAGATAGAAAAAAGGAGTGAGGTCACCCTGCCTCTTGAAATAAGGTCATTGAACTTTGGAAGATATAAGAAAGAAAGAAGCCATCTATGACATCCATCACTAGACAGACACAAAGGAACAGAGTACTTGCAAGCTGAGAAAGATGGGTCTTTCAACCAAGGGAGAGTTGAAGTCTCTGGCAACTGGATGTAAATGAGAAACCTGCTTAGGCAAATATATTTCATCTATGAAGACAAGGGAAACCAATCCTTTGTGCTTCAGTGGAAAGTCTTAACTGAGAGAAAGTCAGCCAGGGCTGGAAAGAAGAAAGATTGGCAAGAAATCTGGGTAGAACGAAGACTGTAGCTAGTTTAGTTTTAGCCACTGGAAAGTATATTTTGTTTTATTTCTCTTTCTGTCTTCATTCCTCATACCTGAACTCACTTAGTCTATGTATATTTTGTTAATACATTTGTTTTATTTTCACTATAAACCAACTCAATGCTGTGTTTGAAGGTTTTACCGCAGTTAATAAGCTGTAATGTGCTTTTGTTTCTTTAAAGGAGCAACAAACCTTATTATTTCTCTGAGTGGTCCAGGTGAGGGCTGGACACTTCATGGCATATGGTTTTGGGAAAATCCAGTAATGGGAGCATGTTGGGGTCACCTTGCTGGTTGTAACCAAGGCTGGTGGAAGCCAAAGTGAGGGTGTGGAAATCTAAATGGGCTACTGGGGTCAGAGCTGTCTAGCACACGTACACTCAGGGTGTGACCTGCACAGTTGTAGGCTGACTATGAGTGTCGCATGCTGTGACCTAAATTAGCGAAGCATGGTGAGGAACCCAGGATTGCCGTCCAGTGATGACACAATCCCTTACTGCTCTGGATTGCTCCCCAAAGTATGACGGTAAATGCACAACTGGTTGAAAAACTGTACTCAGAGTAGTTATTAATAGGGCTCCGTGTCTGTCATGGAGATCGCAGAAGTTACAGATTCTGTGACTTTCTGTGACTTCTGCAGTGGCCCATGTGGCTGGCCCCAGGGCCACCCAAGCAGCTGGCCTCAGGGACAGCTGCTCAGGCAGCCCCCAGGGACATCCACACCAGCTACTGCTGGAGCGGCTCTGCAGCCAGGCACTTGGGTGGCTCCGCAGCCAATCGCATTGGCTGGAGCTGCCTTGGGGACAGCTGCATTGGGTGCTGCTTGGGCGGCCCCGAACAGTTGGCCCTGGGGACCACCCAAGCAGCAACTGGTGCAGCTGGCCCCCGAGATCACGTGAGCAGTGGTCCCAGGGGCGGCAGGAGCAGTTGCAGCTCTGTGGCCCCTAGCAAAGGTCCGGGGACGGCCGGAGTAGCAGGGGAAGCAAGGTAGCCCTGAGGGGTGGCCGGAGCAGCTGCTGCTTAGTGGCCGCCAGCAGCTTGTGCCGCTGGCCCTGACATACCCCCCCAGAGCAGCGCCCCCTCAGGGGCACCCCATAGAGCAGCAGCCTCCTGGTCCTTCCCAGCAGCACTCCCCCAGCAGTGGCCCCCTGTGTTGCCCCAGAGCAACGGCTCCCCCGGGACCTCCCAGAGCAGCAGTGCTCCCCAGCTAAGATTTAGTCAGGGGTATTTATAGTAAAAGTCATGGACAGGTCACAGGCAGAATTTTTGTTTATTGCCCATGACCTTCCATGACTTTTATTAAAAATACCCATGACTAAATCGTAGCCTTAGTTATTAGTGGTTCATTATCAAACTGGGAGGACATTATTTAGTGGTGTTCTGCACTAGTAAATATTTTCATTAATGATTGGGATAAGGGGGCAGAAAGTATGCTTATAAAATTTATGGATGACACCCAGCTGGGAGGGGTTGTAAGCACTTTGGAGGATAGCATTAGAATTCAGAAGGACATTGATAAATTGGAGAACTGGAAATCAACAAGATGGAATTTAATAAAGACAAATGTAAAGGACTACACTTTGGAAGGAAAAAAATCAAATGCACAAATACTGCCTAGCCAGTTACTTCCAATTTTGTAATACTGCAGAAAAAGATCTGGGGTTGTAATGGATCAAAACTTAATATGAGCCAGAAATGTGATGCAGTTGCAAAAATGGCAAATATTGTTCTGGGGTGCATGAACTGGAGTGTTGTATGTAAGACATAGGAGGAAATTTTTCTGCTCTACTTGGAATTGGTGATGCTTCAGCTGGAGAACTCTCCAATTTTGGGTGCCACACTTTAGGAAAGATGTGGACAAATTGGAGCGAGTTCAGAGGAGAGCAACTAAAATGACTTAGAAAATATGACCTCTGAGGAAAGGTTAAAGAACAGGACATGTTTAGCCTTGAGAAAGGAAGACTGAGGGAGGGACATAAGTCTTTGAATAGATTATGAGCTGTTACAAAGATGATGCTGATCAATTGTTCTCCGTGTCCACTGAAGGTAGAACAAGAAGTACTGTAATGGGCTTAATCTGCAGATTTACCTTAGATATTAAGAAAAACTTAAGGATAGTTAAGTACTGGAATAGATTAACAACGTGATCTTGTAGAATCCCCATTGTTGGATGTTTTTAAGAACCGGCTGTCAGGGATGGTCTTTCTAGGTATATATGTCCTGCCTCAGCATGGGAAGATGGACTAGATGACCCTGAGGTCAAGCTCTCTTTCGGCCCTATAGTTTATAAATTGCAACTACTTATCTAGGTGCCTGTAAAACCCTCATTAACATGGTATTTGAGCACCTTGTGACAGGTTGGCTCACAGAAAGCCCCTTTGGGACTGCCACCTGATGTGTCTACTGTGGAAGTAGATAAAGGGAATTTGGATGCAGGCCTCTGAAATGAGCAGGAGTCAGGCTAACTCTAGCTTTAATAATGCGAGATTTGTAGAAGCAGGGATAGTGCGAAGCGAGTGGGAAAAGAACTGTGAAAGAGGCTGTTGTGACCTTGTATTAGATAAGAATAGAATGTAGACTATAAGAGAAATTGGTGAGAAAAATAAAATCTAATGAAGGAATATGTATAAACAATATGCAGCTGTTGCTGATTGTCTGTAATAAAGGTATAAATGCTTGCTCTAATTGTTTATCTTTAGAGAGACCTGCCTAGGTGGGGGGAAACGCTGTGTCCCAGTGCATTCTCTCCCTCTGTGCAATTGCTTGAGATAATAAAATGTATCTGACTTGCTGCACCCAACCTGAGAGTGAGAACTGTGTTTTTCTGCGACACTAGACTACCTCTGAGACTGTTTCCCCTGCCAGTTTAGGACTTCAGTACCTTGCCTTGTTTGAGCCAGACATGCTTGCCTGCTGCAAACACAGATCCAAGCCTGAACCACGTCCCCCACAAGCTGCAGGCTTAACTGAAAACAGTTTAAGTGCTCCTGTCTCTAGCACTCAGATACCCAGCTCCCAATGGGGTCCAAACCCCAAATAAATCTGTTTTACCCTATATAAAGCTTATACAAGGTAAACTCATAAATTGTTCGCCCTCTATAACACTGATAGAGAGATATGCACAGCTGTTCCCCTCCCCCCCCAGTATTAATAAATACTCTGGGTTAATTAATTAGTAAAAAGTGATTTTATTAAATATAAAAATCCAAGTAATAACAGACAGAATAAAATAAATTACCAAGCAAAACAAAACAAAAACACGCAAGTCTAAGCCTAATACAGTAAGAAACTAAATGCAGGTAAAGCTCACCCTCAGATTTCAGAGTAACAGCCGTATTAGTCTGTATTAGCAAAAAGAAAAGGAGTACTTGTGGCACCTTAGAGACTAACCAATTTATTTGAGCATGAGCTTTCGTGAGCTACAGCTCACTTCATCGGATGCATACTGTGGAAACTGCAGAAGACATTATATACACAGAGACCATGAAACAATACCTCCTCCCACCCCACTCTCCTGCTGGTAATAGCTTATCTAAAGTGATCATTCTACAGTAGGCATCCGATGAAGTGAGCTGTGGCTCACGAAAGTTCATGCTCAAATAAATTGGTTAGTCTCTAAGGTGCCACAAGTACTCCTTTTCTTCTCACCCTCAGATGTTCCAATAAGCTACTTTGACAGACTAGACTCCTTTCTAGTTTGTCCAGTCCTTTCCCCTGGTACAGTCCTTGTTCCAGCTCAGGTATTAGCTAGGGGATTTCTCATGACTGCAGCCCCCTTTGTTCTGTTCCACCCCCATATATAGCTTTGGCACAAGGTGGAAATCTTTTGTCTTTTTGGGTCCCCAGGTTTAAGATGTATTCCAGTACCAGGTGACATGGTCACATGACCTGTGAGACCCCAAGCCTTCATTCTTCCCAGCCTGACTCACAGGAAGGCTTGCAAATGAACAGAGCCATCTACAGTCAGTTGTCCTAGTTGATGGGAGCCATCAAGATTCCAAACCACCATTAATGGCCCACACTTTGCATAATTACAATAGGACCTCACAGTTAGATTTCATATTTCTAGTTTCAGATGCAAGAACGATACATTTATACAAATAGGATGACCACACACAGTAGATTATAAGCTTTCTAATGATACCTTACAAGAGACCTTTTGCAGGAAGCACATTCCAGTTACATTATATTCACAAAAAGAAAAGGAATACTTGTGGCACCTTAGAGACTAACCAATTTATTTGAGCATGAGCTTTCGTGAGCTACAGCTCACTTCATCGGATGCATACTGTGGAAACTGCAGAAGACATTATATATACACAGAGGAGGTAATAGCTTATCCAAAGTTCTCACTTTGGATAAGCTATTACCAGCAGGAGAGCGAGTTTGTGTGTGTGGTTTTTGGAGGGGGGTGGGGGGGTGAGAGAACCTGGATTTGTGCTGGGAATGGCCCACCTTGATTATCATACACATTTTAAAGAGAGTGGTCACTTTGGATGGGCTATTACCAGCAGGAGAGTGAGTTTGTGTGTGGGGGGGGGGGGGGGGGAGGGAGGGTGAGAAAACCTGGATTTGTGCTGGAAATGGCCCAACTTAATGATCACTTTAGATGAGCTATTACCAGCAGGAGTGTGGGCTGGGAGGAGGTATCGTTTCATGGTCTTTGTGTATATAATGACAGGTTTCAGAGTAACAGCCGTGTTAGTCTGTGTTCGCAAAAAGAAAAGGAGTACTTGTGTGGCACCTTAGAGACTAACCAATTTATTTGAGCATGAGCTTTCGTGAGCTACAGCTCACTTCATCGGATGCATACTGTGGAAACTGCAGAAGACATTATATATACACAGAGACCATGAAACGATACCTCCTCCCACCCCACTCTCCAGCAGGAGAGTGAGTTTGTGTGTGTGTATGGGGTGGGGGGTGAGAAAACCTGGATTTGTGCTGGAAATGGCCCACCTTGATTATCATACACATTTTAAAGAGAGTAGTCACTTTGGATGGGCTATTACCAGCAGGAGAGTGAGTTTGTGTGTGGGGGGGCGAAGGGTGAGAAAATCTGGATTTGTGCTGGAAATGGCCCACCTTGATTATCATACACATTTTAAAGAGAGTAGTCACTTTGGATGGGCTATTACCAGCAGGAGAGTGAGTTTGTGTGTGGGGGGGCGAAGGGTGAGAAAATCTGGATTTGTGCTGGAAATGGCCCAACTTGATGATCACTTTAGATAAGCTATTACCAGCAGGAGAGTGGGGTGGGAGGAGGTATTGTTTCATGGTCTCTGTGTATATATAATGTCTTCTGCAGTTTCCACAGTATGCATCCGATGAAGTGAGCTGTAGCTCACGAAAGCTCATGCTCAAATAAATTGGTTAGTCTCTAAGGTGCCACAAGTACTCCTTTTCTTTTTGCGAATACAGACTAACACGGCTGTTACTCTGAAACCTGTCATTATATTCACACTCATTAGCATATTTTCATAAAATCATATGGAGTGCAACATCACACACCTCATAATTTTTTAATATATTTATACTCACAACACCCTTAGAAAGTTCTATTAACTCCCTTTTTACAAAAAACTGAGGATCAGGAAGACAACTTACCCAAGGTTACAAATGATATCTGTGGCAGAGCAGGGAATCAAATCTTGGTCTCCAAAGTCCTATGCTAGTGTTCCATCTAGTGGTCAACCTTTCCTCTCCTACATGCACAAAATATATATTAGTCATCTTTGTATTCCAGGTGAATTCCCTTTGGTTCAGGACTGCTCTTCAAGAAGGCGCACTAACACAGGCTAAGAAATGTCTTCTCTGACAGTGGCATCATTATATTCCAGATAATAGAGTCTGTATCTGCCCTGTCACTCCCCCACCCCTGTTGCTTTCCTACAGTATTTTAAATCGGGGGTAAACAGTACAATCTGTGGTCCAATCCTGACAGGTGCACAATGCCCACACATCTCAATGTGCTGAGGGCATCTATCTCCTTACAGAAGGGGGCCCTCATTTGTGGAGGGCAGGAGCTAGGTGAGCCTCCTTTAGGGCTGGTGAAACACTTCCCTCTGAGGGAAAATGGGGGCAGTTCTGCTCTTGTCTTGACCTGGAACAGCAGTCCCAACCCTGGAAAGATCTCATCTTCCTCAGTTCCCCAGAGCCCTTGGCTCCCATTCTGCACCCCAGCCAGAAGGAAACTTCTGGACTCCCCTGGATCTCCCCTCCTCAGTCCCCAGCCGAAGACACCTCCCTCAGACCCTCCCCTCCCCACCCTCCAGCCCAGAGACACCTCCCTTGGACCCCGCCGTCAGCCGGGAAACACCTCCCCCGGACACACACCCCCTGAGCCCCCAGCCGGGAGACACCTCCCCCCCGAGCCCCCAGCCGGGAGACACCTCCCCTGGACCCGCCCCCCAGCTCCCAGCCGGGAGACACCTCCCCCCCGAGCCCCCAGCCGGGAGACACCTCCCCCGGACCCCCCCCTCAGCCCCCAGCCGGGAGACACCTCCCCCCCGAGCCCCCAGCCGGGAGACACCTCCCCCGGACCCCCCCCTCAGCCCCCAGCCGGGAGACACCTCCCCCGGACCCCCCCCTCAGCCCCCCCAGCCGGGAGACACCTCCCCCGAGCTCCCAGCCGGGAGACACCTCCCCGGACCCCCCCCTCAGCCCCCAGCCGGGAGACACCTCCCCCGGACCCCCCCCTCAGCCCCCAGCCGGGAGACACCTCCCCGGACCCCCCCCTCAGCCCCCAGCCGGGAGACACCTCCCCCCCGAGCCCCCAGCCGGGAGACACCTCCCCCGGACCCCCCCCCTCAGCCCCCAGCCGGGAGACACCTCCCCCGGACCCCCCCCCCTCAGCCCCCAGCCGGGAGACACCTCCCCCCGAGCTCCCAGCCGGGAGACACCTCCCCCGGACCCCCCCCCCTCAGCCCCCAGCCGGGAGACACCTCCCCCGGACCCCCCCCTCAGCCCCCCAGCCGGGAGACACCTCCCCCCGAGCCCCCAGCCGGGAGACACCTCCCCCGGACCCCCCCCTCAGCCCCCAGCCGGGAGACACCTCCCCGGACCCCCCCCTCAGCCCCCCAGCCGGGAGACACCTCCCCCCGAGCTCCCAGCCGGGAGACACCTCCCCGGACCCCCCCCCCCTCAGCCCCCAGCCGGGAGACACCTCCCCCGGACCCCCCCCCCCTCAGCCCCCAGCCGGGAGACACCTCCCCCGGACCCCCCCCTCAGCCCCCCAGCCGGGAGACACCTCCCCCGAGCCCCCAGCCGGGAGACACCTCCCCCGGACCCCCCCCCTCAGCCCCCAGCCGGGAGACACCTCCCCCGGACCCCCCCCCCCTCAGCCCCCAGCCGGGAGACACCTCCCCGGACCCCCCCCTCAGCCCCCAGCCGGGAGACACCTCCCCCCCGAGCCCCCAGCCGGGAGACACCTCCCCGACCCCCCCCTCAGCCCCCAGCCGGGAGACACCTCCCCCCTCAGCCCCCAGCCGGGAGACACCTCCCCGGACCCCCCCTTAGCCCCCAGCCGGGAGACACCTCCCCCGGACCCCCCCAGCTCCCAGCCGGGAGACACCTCCCGCGGACACGCCCCAGTCCGGAGACACCTCCCCCTCAGCCCCCAGCCAGCGTCACCTCCCCTGGTCCTGGTCCCGGTCCCCTCCGCAGCCGGGAGACTCCTTCCCCGGACACCCTCCCGCCCTTAGCCCCCGGACACTTCCCCTGCTCTGGACCTTCCTCCTCTCACCTATAAGCCCCGCCCCCTCAGTCCCCTCCCCTAGGCTGTGGGTTACTATAGCAACGGGAGGCGCAGCCGCCACCAGCCGAGCCGACCTGTCGCTGCGGGGCCCGGTACCTGGTGAGGTGCGGGGGGGGGAAGGGTGGGCGCGCAGGGCTTCCCCTCACCCCCGCCTGTCGCCAGCAGTTCACCCAGGAGGGGAGCGGGGAAAATCACCTCCTGGCCCCGACCCCCCCCCCCTCCCGCTCCGGGGCCCCTCCTGCTCCCAGGGTTTCCCGGTTTCCTTTCCAGTCATTTCCTGGCTCCTCTCCTCCGCTCCAGGCGCCGCAAGGCGTCCCGCTAACTCCGGGGCCACTTTTATTTAGGTGCCTTTATTCTTTTTTCTAAAGCCATCAATTGTCGGGTTTTTTTAGTCCCTGCCCCCCCCCCCCGCCCCAAAGACAACTGCTTCAAAGGCTCTTTTCCTGTTTAAATAAAAATGTGCATATGTGTTGGAGGGAAACAAATTTGGATAATGCACACATTTAGTTTTCAAAATTCCCCAAAATTATTGTAAAGAAAACATAAGAACGGCCATACTGGGTCAGACCAAAGGTCCATCTAGCCCCGTACCCTGTCTTCTGACAGTGGACAGTGGCAGGTGCCTCTGAGGGAATGAACAGAACAGGTAATCATCAAATGATCCATCCCCTGTCACCCATTCCCAGCTTCTGGCAAACGGAAGCTAGGGACACCATCCCTGCCCATCCTGGGTAATAATCTTTGCTACACCTATCCTCCATGAACTTATCTAGTTGTTGGGTTTTTTTTTAACCCTGTTATAGTCTTGGCCTTCACAACATCCTCTGGCACAGAGTTCCACAGACTGTGTGTTGTGTGAAGAAATACTTCCTTTTGTTTGTTTTAAACCTGCTGCCTGTTAATTTCATTGGGTGACCCCTGGTTCTTGTATTTTGAGAAGGAATAAATAACACTTCCTTATTTACTTTCTCCACACCAGTCATGGTTTTCTAGACCTCAATCATATCCGCCCCTTAGTCTTCTCTTTTCCAAGCTGAAAAGTCCCAGTCTTATTAATCTCTCCTCGTTTGGAAGCTGTTCCATACCCCTAATCATTTTTTAAAAATGCGAGAAACAATTATCTCAAAGTTATCAAAATAGCCCGTACAGTTTCCTGTCAAACATGGTAATTTTCTGTGGGGAATAAGGCTGCTATTTCTGCTGTTGCGTCCCACCCACTTTTAGCTAAGAACTAAAGCAGAGAGCTTTTTAGCTCGGTTGCTCTGTACCTCCTCCTCAAAGACAAAATCTATGGTAACATGGATTGCACAGATGTACACCACCTTCAAAGGCTATTTGTATTATTCAACCTTTTTGTGGCCAGAAGAACACAGCTGCTTTAATGGAAACATGCAAACTAACTGTAATCACTGTAAAGTCAGCATTTAAAAATGTAGAATAAAGTGAGTAGTTCAGCATGATACAGAGTATGATAGATGTAGAAATGGAATCTAGTTTAAACTCAGGGAAGACACTCATGCAGTTTGGCTAATGAGAACTCTAGCAGCAATTTAGAAGCCAGATTTTTATTTCTTAGAGATTGGAGGCAATATCCTTATATTTTGTAAATTTAAGCTCTGTACACTTTATAATCCATGAAAGATTATCACTTTCAAATCCAAATTTATGCTTGCAGAACTTGGCATATATTTTACTGACTTGCATGACTTGTGTTGAAAAATCAGAATGGATCTTTTCAAGTGCATTGTAAATCAAAACACAATAGTGTCTTAGGGGAAATTACACCCAAAATATACAGTACTACAAAATTTAAAGACAACCCTGAAATTAAACTTCAAAGATGTACTGAAATTCCTCATTTTAAAAGATATTACATGTTTTGATGCCAGTTCTTCAAGGTGTTGCTTACCTTCAATTCCACTGAAATCAATGAGTTGAAGGCAATCAGTATGGTCCAGGAGTTATTCAGCACCGTTTGTGAGAGTGCTCTTTACTTGGTCTTTTATTTTTGTCATTTGATGACAGATTATTATTGCACCAAATCAACTTTTCCAGAGGAAACACTTCCTTTTACTGACGGACATAAGTTTTGATCTGTATAATTAGGTTGAGATAAGATAAATTGACCTGGTAATGTCAATTGGAATTTGCATTTAAGCATTGTGTTTGCTTTCCCTATTGCATGGTCCTAAGGCCTTGTCTACACTATCACTTTACAGCGCTGCAACTTTCTCACTCAGTGTAGGTGCCCAGGCCCTGTCTCATGCCTAAACTCCACTGCAATTCCCTCATGTATCTCAGTTGCAGGGCCCAATCTGTCAGGCAGTCACAGAGCATGCCTGATCCCACATAAAATGGGGGTGGGGGAAGGGGAAAGCATATCCTCCATTATAACCTTTAGTCTAATGGATAGGGTACTTGCACAGGATGTGGGAAATTGTGGTTCAGGCCCCTCTGACTGATAAGAACGGATTTGAATGAAGGTTTCCCACTTCACAGATGAGTGCCTTAACCACTGGACTATAGTCATTTTTGCTCTCTTTCTGGCTAAGTGCATATTTAATTATTTTTATCCAGTGGAACACCTTAGAGAGAAACCCACTTCAGAATATCCCAGAGCCCAGTTGTTATGGTACTCACCTCAGAGGTGAGAAAACCATCTTCAAATCCCTTCTCTCCAGGTGGAGGAGGGAATTGAACCAGGGTCTCCCACATCCTGGGTGAGTTCCCCAACCACTGAATTAAAAGTTATAAGGGAGTCTTTCTCCTTCACTCATCACCACATGGCCATTTTCCATGGAATTGGGTTTTCCACTGCTGTTCTGGCCAGAGATAGCTTTGGTGCCTATCACGGGAGAGGGTTCGTGGCTATGGATCCCAAATGGGATCCAGCCTGGACTGTTTGGCACATAACTCCAGGAGAGAGTCGGGGCTTAGAACACACACCTCTCCTCAGCATCTATTCATTATTCATTAACTATTCATTAGCTTAGGCAGCTCCTTGTCTAGTGTGCTGGCTTTGTGGATCCCA